CTTGAGCTCGTAACCCACAAAAGTGTCGACACAGATGGCAGAGGAACAACAAGACCAAATCCAAAAGGTTCCCGAACCCATAACGTGTTAGGAGAGGGCCAAGTTGGGACGTCATGGTAGGAAGACAAGGCATGGAGGTCACCCAACGTTCACGTTTTTTTAAACGCGAGGAAGTGTGCATGCAATGCAACGTTACCACGGGAAGACCAATCAAGGGGAATTCAAGCAATTGAATTAAGCCAAGTAGTACTGCGATAAATGCGCCGTACTTGTGCGGGCCACTACCAACAATTCGTGTATCTTCAGCTACTATTAAAGAGAAACATCGCGTACAATCAGGTATCTTTCCTGTATCCAGTACAAACATATTCCTTCCATCCATCTCCATTTAAAAACTTGAAGGATAATTTACCTGCTTCAGCTCGTAACCCACAAAAGTGTCGACACAGATGGCAGAGGAACAACAAGACCAAATCCAAAAGGTTCCCGAACCCATAACGTGTTAGGAGAGGGCCAAGTTGGGACGTCATGGTAGGAAGACAAGGCATGGAGGTCACCCAACGTTCACGTTTTTTTAAACGCGAGGAAGTGTGCATGCAATGCAACGTTACCACGGGAAGACCAATCAAGGGGAATTCAGCAATTGGATTAAGCCAAGTAGTACTTGCGATACATGTGCCGTACTTGTGCGGGCCACTACCAACAATTCGTGTATCTTCAGCTACTTTTAAAGAGAAACATCGCGTACAATCAGGTATCTTTCCTGTATCCTGTACAAACATATTCCTTCCATCCATCTCCATTTAAAAACTTGAAGGATAATTTACCTGCTTCAGCTCGTAACCCACAAAAGTGTCGACACAGATGGCAGAGGAACAACAAGACCAAATCCAAAAGGTTCCCGAACCCATAACGTGTTAGGAGAGGGCCAAGTTGGGACGTCATGGTAGGAAGACAAGGCATGGAGGTCACCCAACGTTCACGTTTTTTTAAACGCGAGGAAGTGTGCATGCAATGCAACGTTACCACGGGAAGACCAATCAAGGGTAATTCAGCAATTGGATTAAGCCAAGTAGTACTTGCGATACATGTGCCGTACTTGTGCGGGCCACTACCAACAATTCGTGTATCTTCAGCTACTTTTAAAGAGAAACATCGCGTACAATCAGGTATCTTTCCTGTATCCTGTACAAACATATTCCTTCCATCCATCTCCATTTAAAAACTTGAAGGATAATTTACCTGCTTCAGCTCGTAACCCACAAAAGTGTCGACACAGATGGCAGAGGAACAACAAGACCAAATCCAAAAGGTTCCCGAACCCATAACGTGTTAGGAGAGGGCCAAGTTGGGACGTCATGGTAGGAAGACAAGGCATGGAGGTCACCCAACGTTCACGTTTTTTTAAACGCGAGGAAGTGTGCATGCAATGCAACGTTACCACGGGAAGACCAATCAAGGGTAATTCAGCAATTGGATTAAGCCAAGTAGTACTTGCGATACATGTGCCGTACTTGTGCGGGCCACTACCAACAATTCGTGTATCTTCAGCTACTTTTAAAGAGAAACATCGCGTACAATCAGGTATCTTTCCTGTATCCTGTACAAACATATTCCTTCCATCCATCTCCATTTAAAAACTTGAAGGATAATTTACCTGCTTCAGCTCGTAACCCACAAAAGTGTCGACACAGATGGCAGAGGAACAACAAGACCAAATCCAAAAGGTTCCCGAACCCATAACGTGTTAGGAGAGGGCCAAGTTGGGACGTCATGGTAGGAAGACAAGGCATGGAGGTCACCCAACGTTCACGTTTTTTTAAACGCGAGGAAGTGTGCATGCAATGCAACGTTACCACGGGAAGACCAATCAAGGGGAATTCAGCAATTGGATTAAGCCAAGTAGTACTTGCGATACATGTGCCGTACTTGTGCGGGTGCTTGATAAGGATATTGAAAACTTCGCAGACGTGTCACGACATTGGTAGATGGTAAGCATGTACAATATTAATATTATTAAAAGCTTCAAAGGAAACAGAAAAGAAAACAGCAGCGGACTTAGGAATCTTGGCTCTCACACACCTTTCGTCACCACTGGCGCACAAAATTTCCTGCTGATAATTGCCCGCCAAATCCTTTTATTTGCAAAAGTTAGCAGTTTTCAGAACAAGGCGTTGGTCGCTAACTTTGCTAACGATCGATTAGGAACATCAACGCCCTTTTGCCCACAGACAACGTTGGCCCATAGTTATGTTAAGCTCTTGTTTAAAGCTAGCGGAAACCATGAGCTTTATATGATATCTATTTATGGCTACCGGGCAACGATTTGACATAGATAAATATATGGTTCACTACTACATATACGTGTATATCATTTTTGCAGCAGCAATCTATATAGCGAGATAAAAACGTGTTATATTATAGTTAAAGACACATCATTACATAAGCAAACATACAATTAGCCTCCGTTAAGGTAATCATTCACTAATTACGGTAAAAAGAATCAACAGATAGTACGTCTGTTCTTAATATCTAAACTGCTGGTCATATGGTCAAAAGTGAAGAAGACACATAGGTTCATTGTTTGATCATGAAATAATTCTGATATCTTTTAGATCTTATATTTATTTTATAAAAAGGATCCAAGGGCTTATTTCAGAATTCTCAGCGTGATTGTAGGGTAAAGTGAAAGAAATGATTGGTGACAGCATGAAAAATAAAGTATAAACGCATAAGAATTATGATGTCTGATGCTTTGGATGATAAAGAAATGTAAAAGCTACTGCTATGGCACGTCATTGGCGTCGACATTGTTCTGGATTTTCAACTCGTGCAACAAGTCTTCGATGCTCTCTTCACCGCTTTCCGCACGCACTATTCCCATAATGATGTCCGCAAAAGAGATCATGAGTCTGTCCTCCGGACATTCCTCCTCTATATCTTCGTCCTCTTCTTCCACATCTTGCTCCAGAACTTTCTTCAACTACCGGAGGCTCGTGATGCTGCTGCTGTAATTGCTGTTGATATGATTGCCAGGAATGGCCATGTACTTTCTTGTACAACCTTTCGACCGTTGGCAACTTACGGGCGATAAGATTTTTGTACCCTTCCCCGCGTTTCTCTTCTTCTACTGCTTGATGCATCCGTTTGCATCTGTTTAGCGCGTAGCTTAAGCTGCTCTTCTTTATCCTAGAATGTTATTACCCGAGTTATTACAGCGATTACAATAGGTGGTATTTTCATTCTAAGTTACTAATACTAGTTTTACCATCAACAATACAAGCACTTCAGTGGCAAGTTGCACGTTCATATACTGACGAAGAGCGCGGAAGTTAATATCTGTCGCAGTACCTGGGTCCCAGAATGTGCTATCGTCCAATGACTTTATATCATCATATTTCACATCTTGAAAAGTAAGATCCAACGATTTACATGCTTTATTATAGTTATTCAATGCTGTTTTGGCCCTCGCTGTTGCATTGTGCACAGAATTGATCATCTGTGAGCATGTCGTATGTCCTAGTTTTGCTTCCGTTAATCTTCAATGTCTCTCTTTTTTTTTTTGAATACAGCTGTATAGTAGCTAGCTTTACTGAACGATGTAACACATCTTTTAGCAGAGTTTGACCGATAAGTATCGTCTTGAGTTTCTCTCGAGCGATATCACGGTTTCTTTCCTTCACTCGCTTTTGGACAGCGATGAATTCAGGACAAGCTGTAGTCCATCTCGTTACAATACCAAGCTTCCTTTCAAATGATTTTACGTCCTTTAAAGCTTTTGGATATGACGTTTCGAAGGAAGGAAGTTGAGTCAAAATGTCCAATATTTCTTCATGCGATCGCGAGTTTAGCTGGTTCAATCTTGCAAGAACCTCGTCGGATTTCTCCCTTATTGTCATTGTACATTGAGTATTTATAAAGTTTAAAAGGTTAATAATTTATTCTTATGCATAATTGAATTAGTACATATTGTAGTAGACAATTAATTGACGGACGTATTTTGTTTCGTTTCCTTCCTTGGAGTTCGCTCAACTGCATGGTCGCTACGAATTCTTCGGGAAACTATGTCCCATCCGGTTTGGAGTTCTTCGTAGCTTTTCTTCTCTTTGCGCTCGTTATCAAGGTACGATATAGCTTTTAAAAGTACGTCATTTGCATGCTTCTTGCGCCATGATAGGCTTACGGCTAACAGTTAAGAAGTGAATGCCATGTTAATCCAAGGAATGAGATGTATGCTTTCTTATAAACTACTTGCGCAAATTTGAAATTCGGATGTCTTTAAAGCGTGATATAGCATGACAAAGTGCCAATATTCTGTTTTGAGCGCTCATTGGCCGAGTGATTGAAACAAATTGACTTAGATACGACCAAAGTCGCTTTATGCCTTCTCCATGCGTCAGTCCAAGGCCTTCGACGTAGCGTGGATTATAATCCACTTTACATTTCATGAAGTGCGCATATGCATGGAAGACGCTAACCGCAATTTTGGTGGTTGCATCACCGAGCTCGGAAAAATTGCTCTACATATGTTATTTATTATACTAACTGTTAGAATCTACTTAACCCTTCATAATGGTATAAATACGTGTTATAAGACATACTTGTAAGGCTGGTTTGAAGCGACAAGCAGTATCATACATCACTGCCTCGATTCTCACCTTTGGATGTTGCAATAACACGTCGATAATTGCAAGAGCGTACTTAAACCTTTATTTGATGTTATGACATTTGTAACCGGTATAATAAGTACAATTTACGGTATTTACCAGAAATAATAACAGAAAATGTTGTACGATTTGTACTAACTTCTCTCCAGATTCATAAACATTAGTGAATTCCAATGGAACATCGTGCCGAGCACAAATAGCTCCTACTACAGTAGCCCACATCCGTGGCAGAGGGGAAGCATTTGCCGTTGCTTTAAAACTGCTATCGCGTGTACGCGATGAGTCATCGACTGGTTCAAGCAAACCCTTTTCTTACTTTGATTGACCTTCATCGGAAGGAAAGTATCGGTTCAATGTATTTCTCTTTGTCGTGTTCGTTTGCTTTATAACGCTTAAGCTGATATTGCCGTCAATAGCTATAACATTCGATACTAAATCATAAGTATATATAACAGTTATTATTTGTAGCAATATACAATGATTGTTGAAAAAGATTTCTTCTTACTGCAGGACGCGCAGGACACCCGTATTGTTCCTCAATCCCTTCGTTGCCAGATACTAAGTCGTCTTCTACTAACGCCGTGATTTCCAGATACTTGAAGAAAGCATGTCCAAGATTTTTCGCAACGTTTCATCTTTCTATAATAGTTGATCATTACATGTAAGTTACTACTCTACTGGTACGGAACAATGGGGCTTTGGTAATCTTGCGGTAGTCGCCGGGCTTGACTGGATATAGACCGGACAACATGCCGGATTTTAGCTGCACTGAAGTGTTACAAATACCATAAACAGAAATTTGCGATAGTCTTGCGGTAGCTCTTGCGGTAGTTGCAGTGGTGATCTTGCAGTACTTTCCACACATTTTGCAGTGGAAGGAGCTGGTAAGAGTTTTCTACATATAACTTTATTAATAACAGCTCATATATAAAATTCACAATTGCCTTCAGTAGATAGCTTTGTAGCCAACAGTAAATTATTCATTTGTGTAAATCAAGTATGTGTATCTTTATTTTGATGTAAAGCGTTGAATTTTATTTCATGTTGTCTATCAATTTAATATTTCACTCTTTTGTAGCAAATAATGACTGGATACATACTATCATCCTGGAGTTTTATCTCGGCATCAATCTCGTCTACAGTAGGTATGACTTCAATTTTGGGTCGCTATTGAGATTATCGATGCCCGCTAAGAATGGCTTGCTTTGGTTTGGGATACTCGCATACATGTAGAAATGAAGACCAGTTTTCGCAATAGAGTTTATGCGCTCGTAAAACGGAAGCCCTGGTTGAGATTACTCGTATGGTTTGTAGATTCATCTGTAGACATTGTGAAGCAAGAGAAGAACAACGTTTGAAGTGGGAAAAGAAGAAAAGAAGTGCGGTAAGCTAAATCGATCGTTTGCAAAGTTAGTGACTAACGCTGTGTAAGCAAGCTACCAATCAACCCGCCGTTATCCACTCCTCGAATCAACATGGCGCCGTCATCCACAAGCGTCGTCATTATCATTGATAGTAGTAAAACCATAGCATATTATATATCAGTAGAAACATATAAATAGTCAAGATAATTTTGTTGAATAAAGATCATTAATCTATTAACTCATATCCACTTACTCGCCTATCCTTCTAACCTCTCTGATATTCAATACCCGATCCCTACTACACGCTGGTTCCCCAAAACCGCTGCGTGCATGCGGTGCCTTTCGTTTATCCTTCTTTTCATTTAAATGCTACTCTACATACTACCATGCTGCTCATTGACTACCTTGCAAAAGTAGAAACAAGCAAGTGGTGCGTCGTCGAATTGTTGGATGCATATGAAGGCAGCCTTAATTCTGCAAGCTTAAGCGACATATGCGCACGCATTGAACACGATCTTGACGAACACAAGGCAAAGAGAAGAAGCAGAAAGGCTGATGAAGCTGTTCATGCAATCAAGACAAAGATCAATGTATGTTTCTCAGAGATTTTGTGTTTTTTGTCTTCATTTGCCTTAAAATTGTTGTCTGTTGCTGTTCCTCCAGGTGCTACGATCGCTCAAGTGTTTAAAATCCGTAAGGAAGAAAGCTTTACCTCAAGAATCGTCTGCTGGTGCATCGGTCAACAACTTCGCCAAAAGTGTAAAACAAAGTGTAAAACAGAACAACTTTTTCGGACCAACAATCGTAAGTGGCTACCTGCTAAGTTATGATAGGATGTCGTAAATATCAACTGGTTTCGTCTCACTCTTTTCTAGCCAGAAAAGAGAAGGATTGATGGAATTGATGGACGTGAGATGCACCACAAAACGGCTGACACTCCGGTAAGAACATTTGCATGAAAAAGAGAAATAAGGAGCTTCTAAGTGAAAAGCTATAACTGTAAAACACAGATAACCGCACAACCGGTGAAGCGCTATCGAGGAGTCCCAAGTACTGCAGATGACGAATATAACGAAGCCAACTCATCAGCGCAGATTCAAGGAGAAAGTAGCACTTCGCCATCCACCGGTAAATCTGCAAGTGACAACAACAGACAAACCTCCACTTCCCCATCATCAGCCTCGCATCATTCGGAAATCGACGAAAACACTGACAACTATGCTGAGTGGCTCGTTCAATATGGAACCATGACTTTGAAGCAGTAGCTGCAATATTTGTATGAGAACTAGTAAGTTGTTTTCAGTATAATCATCAACGCAGTATCCTTAATCTACTTTATTCTAACTGAACACACATTTGCAATAACAGTGGGGGGAAACATAAACATCTGGATATTACTTGCTTGGACCCGCCTCCATCGAAGAGAAAGGCTGTTTTGATCTGCGAGCACACAAAACTTTTAAAGTACTCTCACGTAGTCACCAAGGAAGAAGCTCTTTGGAGGTCTTTTATAAACATTAACTATAATTAAAAACAGTAATATATGAAAATGTAAATAGTTTGATTAAAACTAACAATTTTAATTTTCTAATATATATTTAAACATCTAATTGGTTAAACTTTTAAGGTAATTATCAATGATGGTTGTATCATTAAAGTTTTCCTGCCATATCCATTCATTATAAGAATCATCATAATCTCTCCATTTAACTATAAATTTCATTCTTTTTTTAAATTTTCTATGATTCAAAATTTTTTCAACTTCAAAACTATCCTCATCAATATCATTATCTTCTTCTATATACATATTATCATCTATATTTTCTAAATTAGTATTGCAATAATTATTAATTAAAGATTCTTGTTTATTTGTCATTTCCGTTATTCTTATTAAATCAAATTTTTCAATAATATTTTCAGTACTATTATTTGGATTAGGATAATTAAAATTATTGTTTGCCCACAGCATATGATTAGGCTTAACAGGAATATTATGTACATTGCAAAATTTTTGAATATTTAATAATAGTAATGCTAATTTTAACTGTAAATTATATACTTTTATGTCTGTAATTCTAGTAGTTTTTTCATTATTATTAAATCTTTTAAATTTATTTCCTAATTGACCAAAACATGATTCAATTTTACTTCTAAAACTACCAAACGTTTCATTATACAGAATTTCATCATCAGTTAAATCTATATTAATTTCTTTTCTAATTAGGTACATAAAATTATTTCTGTTTATTTTATCATTACCTTTTCTTTCACAGTTCTCTATAAATTTTTCTATATAATAATAATATCCACCATCAAATGCAATACATTCATAATCACTTAATTTATTCTCCAATTTCATATCTAAAAACATTTGACCGTCATTATAATTCTTACATGGCTTACTATCTGATACAAATATTGCAAATTCATTAATATCATAAACTACCTGTGTCCTAATACCTGATTTTTTAAATTTATATGAGTAAAAATTTCTAGATTTTATATCATTTTTTAAATAGTCGATTCTACTGTCATGGCCATCTACAGTGGCCGCTCGATAATTCGATACTCGATAACTCGATATTTTCGATAATTCGATCACTTTCTCAAATGACCAGGCTGGTAAGCAGTAAAATATCGACAAATCGATAATTCGATCATCGATCGCTTGGCTGTGACATATCGATAAGTATAAACCAATAGAAATGCTTAGTGACGCGGAATTGAACCAGCGATCAGTGTCGGATCATACATCAGAGTCTAGAGTTAACATGTATTCCCAATAAATATTCCTTTTCTTGACGGAGTCCCAATTTCATAACTCGATATTTCGATAATTCGATCACTTGTGGCTGTGACCAAAGTGATCGAATTATCGAGCGGGCACTGTATAAATAAAGTTAAGTTTTTAAAGCCTGTTGGATTTATATTTTTAGATGTTAAAATTCTTAATATTGTGTTTGAAAACATATTTTCTAATAGTTCAGTAATATATTTATTTAAATCATTTCTGTTATCCTTCCAAAATTGATTATGTATATCTGAAAATGAAGAACTAGGAATGTAATCATCCATATCACTATAAGAATTACCAGTAATTAAATGGTACAAAATAATTAAACCTTTTTCTAAAAAATTATATGGACCTTTATAATCATATTTATTAAAAATCATAACTAGAAAGAAAAATACTGGTATATAACCTAACTTTTTAATTAATATTTCTTTTACTTTATCAATATTATTAATGTTTTTTATTGCTGTTCTATGTTTATACTTGGAAATCTTTATGGGATAATCTATGTCTAGAAATTGCCAATAATTATTATTTAGTTTTGATAATTCATTTCTAATTATATGATCCATTTTAATATTATTCAGAATTCAATTTTTTTTTTGATAATGATATTGATGAGGATAGTTTTGAAGTTGAAAAAATTTTGAATCATAGAAAATTTAAAAAAAGAATGAAATTTTTAGTTAAATGGAGAGATTATGATGATTCTTATAATGAATGGATATGGCAGGAAAACTTTAATGATACAACCATCATTGATAATTACCTTAAAAGTTTAACCAATTAGATGTTTAAATATATATTAGAAAATTAAAAATTGTTAGTTTTAATCAAACTATTTACATTTTCATATATTACTGTTTTTAATTATAGTTAATGTTTATAAAAGACCTCCTTAATAAAAAATATTATAATTTATACTAAAATTTTTATAGAAATAATACTTATAGAGAAGAAGGTGTTTGTCCACATCAAATTTGTTTATTTGAAATTAATTATTTTTATTTTTTTATAATGTTTAATTTGATCATATAACCATTAAATAATATATTAGAATATATAATAATTAAAAGCAAAAATTAAAAAATGAAGATGAAAAAACATCTACAACTTTTTTATTTTTTATTTCTATCACATGACCTTTCCATTATTTACTTGATCTAACTTCTAGATATCCTTTTACATAATTCTTATTAATAAATTGATATATTAGTTTCTAGTATTATTACTGATATTTTATAACTTATAATTTATTGATTTCTAAATTTTAATTTAGTATTTTAAAAGAGTTATCTATTTCTGGTCATGTGATAGAAATAAAAATAAAAAAGTTGTAGATGTTTTTTCATCTACATTTTTTTATTTTTGCTTTTAATTATTATATATTCTAATATATTATTTAATGGTCATATGATCAAATTAAACATTATAAAAAAATAAAGATAATTAATTTGAAATAAACAAATTTGATGTGGACAAACACCTTTGCATAGCAAAGATACGAAATTGTCGAAGTTTGGCGGAAGCTGCTACCTTGAAATCTAGCATGTTTGAGCTCGATAATGTCTCTGATGGCGTGGAGTATATACGCACAGCACTTCACCATGCGTAAGAATCTATTTGTATTATATCATTTGTGGCATCCTAGAGACACTGTTGAATCAATCACTCATCATTGTGCTTAGGATATTGCTCTGGACAAATGAACGAAACTATATGAGCAACCTAGAAAGCTGGTGGCGATCGTTCGTTTATGGTCCCTTATTCGATACCGCTTTTATGTTTCTGGGTGACTACAACATTATAAGGTTAGCAAATTTCGACGTGTATTTCAATTTTAACGTTTAATATGATCAAATACTAACTCTGTAGCACAATAGATCTGAATCAGAGTCCACTGCATACAAGGAGTACAGCATGTTGTATAAAGATATCATTCCCGGCATGGTCAAGCACAAGGTGGAGAAGGTTGATCTAGCAGTGCGCACCATAGACAACCGCATGGATATCCTGACGGGCGAAGACAAGCCTCTACTTGCATCTAAGAAAGCTGTTGCTGAAACCTTTTTGAAGAATCAGGAGAGACGGGTAGTCACGCTCGATGTAATTGAAAGAAAGCTGCCAAAACCAAAGCTGATTCAACACTTTGAAGTTTTCACGGCCCTGTGGCATGGGAACAAGATGACGATTCACTGCACTCGAAAGATTGACAAGCACTATTTCCATTACGAAGCCGCACAAGCATCATTTCCGCTCACAGCAAGCAATTTCCATGAATTCACTCGGCTCCTATTACTTGTTCTATCGTTAAAGGTGAGCAAGTATATTTATCTATCGTGCAGTTTCATATTCTTCTAACACTATTTTTAATTAGCGGCATATCGTTCTGAATCATAGGATGATGAGCGAGTTCGAGAAGTGTGCCTCAGATTTGGCCATAGATCAAGGGACAAGATCACCGATTCAACTCGACGACAACGACGACTCTGTAGAATACGACGAGATTCAAATCAACAATATCTTGCCAGTTTCATGTTGCTTGCTTATTAAAAAATATAAAAAAGTTTTGTAATAAGTTTAATATAAATACTTAAGCACATCATAAGTTAAAGGAATCTGATAATTTTGAATTTCCATTTGAAGCTAAATTAATTGATATTGTTATTAGTAATTCAAGTGAAGCTGCATTAAAGAAAGATGAAATGCTTAAATTACAAGAACAGTTTTTAAATTTGGATATAGATGATAATATGAATATTGATAACGAGATTAATGAAGATAATGATAATAGTAATAATAATAGTAGTGAAGATAATATTCCTAAATTTAATGAAAAGAAAAGAAGACGTAAAGGAAAGGGAAAACGTATTAATATAAATAAAGTTAGAAATATAGAGAATGAAACATATGAAATAGAAAGCATAATTGATCATAAAGTTGAGCATGATGAATATATATTTTTTTAGAAAATGGAAATATTATCCAGATACAGATAATAACTGGTTACATAATAGATTCAATGAAAAAGATTTATTAAATGAATATTTTTAGAACATCATCTTCATATATAAATTATATATATATTTAAGGTAAAACATTATTAAAACAAAGGAAAAAAGGATTACTAATGACTATCTTTAAAAGCTTTTTCTTTTTCTTTTTTCTTGTTATATTTTCTACTTGTATATCTTTTTTTTCAATTTTTTTCTTTTATTTTTCTTTTTATTGGTATATGTTTTCTACTATGAGAACAGCACAGATAATCAGGTTTTTTTTTATTAAGATTTGTTCTAATTTTTTCTCCACAAAACTTCCCATTATTCTTTCCTCGTTTAAACTTATGAGTACAGAAATTATTATTTACATTTAAGGATAGAAAATGATCATTTAAGAATAAGTCTTTTATTATTCTATTTATTTTTTTGATATTTTTTCAATTATGTTTTTTTTAATAAAATGATCAAATTCAGATTGTACAAAAATATCTAATTCATTACACAAATTGGTGCATAATTGGATATAGTTAATAGGTAGAAATTCATTTAAGCAAACCATTTTGAGAGGACTTTTTATGTTATAAAGAAAATTCAATTTTGCTTTTAGAATAAATTATTTTAATATGCACAATTTGAAACTCCGAATTTAAAACAATTTCAAAAATAGATAAAATTTTATAATAAATTTATAAACATCAGATTATGAGATGTTCCACATAGCATCCTTCATGAAGTATATTGAACAAAGGAATCACATTTTCGACGAGCTGCTCTACTAGATGCTCACTAGTCCAGTAGCCATCACGATTAGCTCTAGCATGAATTACACGTCGTGATGTCTATCCTCTGATTTTCATTGTTCCGTGACAAGACCACTGAAATTCGCTGACCATTATAGAAAGACCATATCCTTTTTTACGTAGGACATTTTTGCCTTCTTGTAGCCAAAGTGTGCTTTTTCCGTCATGGGCATAAAAAGTGCATTCATCATGGGTAGGGTTCTGCACGAGACGATTCCTACCGATTCTTTGAGGGAATCGAAGCGGTATCGTCCAAGTTAGGAATCGAACCGAATCGTCTCGGTAAGAATGGGTAGAATCGAAGAATCAAATCGGATATATCATATGAAAGAGAAGAAAAATATGTATCTTCGATTATAGTCAATATGTAGCTAAATATAATAATAAATATGAACGCTATTTGGAATGAATGAAGATTTCAATGCTTAGTACAAATAGTAAGCTCAAAAAGCAATATATAAACTAGTTCCAAAGAGCTGTAACATTCCACTATCAAAGAATCATACTGCATTTCAAAATTAAAGGGAAGGATAGTATTTAGAGTAAGATATCGTTTTTTAAGTGTAGGAAAAAATACTACAACGCATCTTATGTATGGCTGTACATGCACGTGCATTTCATGTCTGATAGAAGGCAAGGGAGGAAGCGAATCACAGAAATGCACCATGCTCGAATTGTGCAAACTTAATCGATGGGTCAATTGAAAATGGCGACATAAATCTCATAGTAGTACGTCATGAATGAGCAGTGTAACGAGTGGCAAGGCATAGTACGCTATGAAATAAAACGCTGTGAGCGGTGACGAACTGTGAAGCAATGATATCATATTATATTAGAGGAATTGAACCACAACCAGTAGTACACACAGCTACTATGTCTCTACGCGTGTATAGTGTCTCATGAAGGGCAAAGGGTGAATGAGTAAGATAATTCTCTTAACGGCCCCTAATTGCGCAATCTCAGCTGGAATGCACAATCTTGATCCTAATGGTCGAGAAACCACGTTAAATCTAGTAAAGTAGTAGGTCATAGAGAAAAATGCATTGTGAGTATCATTGTAGGGGAAGAAGTAATGATGCGCGTCACAGTTACTTCAATGCCATCCAAACACTGCTTCTCACAGAACCGCCTCTTGCTCCCCCATACCAATAATCTATTGAAGCCAGAGTCAATTCAAAGGCTAATGCTTCTGCATTCATGGTTCACTTTCGATTTCGGCGTTTAGAATAGCATTTTGTCTCTTCTTTTCCTCTCTTCCCCTGTTATCCTTTTTCTTTTCACACCGTTTTCTCTTTGTTTCTCGTCCCCTTCCATTCATATATTATTTGGTATAATTGAAAACACGACTTAAGTTTGGAGGTCGCCTTTAAAGAAAGGAACTAGTTTCAGCTGTATTTTAGCGATACATAAATAAATGTTCTACATTATACAAATTACTGAAATCATAGAATATAGAAAAGAACCATTTCTTCGATTCTATGCAACCAAAGCCAAGACGATTCTGAGACGATTCTTGGTCGGAATCGTCTCAGGTTTTGACGACTCCGATTCGATTCGATTCTGATGTGGATCCCTAGACACAATAAAATCATATCCATTACTATAATTATAGGTAAAAAAAGAAATGTACTTATTGGGGATATGCATCTACAGTTATGTATCTTAGCAAAGGACACATTTAACGACTACTAGATGCATATCCTGAGCTTTTACGCTTTCTAGTAGTACATGGCTGTTGCTGCTGCTGAGTCGACAAGGATGATGAAGGAGGTGGGGCGGGAATGGAGAAAGGAGAGGTGGTCGACGTAGAGGAAATATCAGCAGTAGTAATGGCAATGGTAGGAGTGGTAGTTGTATTAGTGGCAGTAGTAGTGGTGGGGATGGCGAAAGGGGTGTAAGACGAGGACGAGATAGCAACATGACGAAATAAGCAGACAGTACATTAAAAACTAATATAAAAAACATAGCATCAAAACGAAGATAATTACCTCTCTTGAGTCGCTTGATCGTTGCTAATGGGTGCCTCAAGATCGCTACATAAAGAGGAAAAATGCTTTTTAGAACAGAAATAGACAATATTAGAGAAATTCATGAGCTTACAAAGAAATTTGCGATCTCGTGGACATCGATTAGAGTTGCATTGAGCTACGATTTCCTTGAAGTTAGAAAATGAAAGCACTTAGGAAAATTTCTTTAATGTTACTACTAATGTTTAGTATTTGTTTCTCGTAAACAACGGAGAGACGAAGTGAGATATGCTACTATTTGATATAAAAAGCTATCAAAATAAGTCTTTTATAGATATGTTATGATGGTTTCTGATACCTCTTCTTGGCCATTGTTTCCTCACGGCGGTCATCATTCCCCAAGTGCATCTGGAAAAAGTAGCGAGTAACCCAGTTGTTCTCGCACTTACAGTGGTCCCCCGCTTTTTGCAGTTCAAAGCTTATTTTATATTATGGTCTACAGCACTAAGTAGCAACATCCATTTTGGCAATTTGCTGGCTGCGATTGCTTCGGAAATGGGGGTGAAAGTACAAGAGAAAGCATACAAAGATACAAATACAAATAAGGACAACTACTAAGCTAGATTTGCTGGTAAGTTATTTAGCGAATTAACGCCCTGAGGGCCTGAAGGTAGGTGTGACGACTGTGGGGGACAGTGTAAGACGCAGCGAAAGAAAGGACAGCAGAAGGCAATAGATGAAAATAAAGTTGATGGCATTAAAACTCTTGACTACGTAGTGGGAGGTGAGATTTTGAACCTACGCCAGGGGAACTGAAGACAGACATCAAAGCCATTCAGCAAAGGGGACTAGCCCCCCCCCCGCTTTTTGCAGTTCAAACAGTATTTATTTATTTTGATTAAGGATGTAAATGGCAGTGGCAACATCCGTTTGGCAATTTGCTAGCCATTGTGAATCGAATGAAGGTGAGAAATAGAGAAATTTACGGGGATCAGACAAGCGGGAAAACCCTTAGGGGAAGAAAAACCCGGATGTGGAAGGTGTTGGAGCGATGGTAACTGACGCTGAGATACTACATATAGGAAAATAAAATAAAGGGGGTAATATATATAAAGATTTTGTCAGAGACAAATGGTACTATTGAGAGAGGAGATGTTGTTGGTGATGGTGAGCAGAGACACTAGCCCGAGGTTAAGAGTGAGATCTGTGCAAGAACAAGCTATGGATCTGGTTCAGGTTCAAAGTCTGAATCAGGATGGCTGCAGATATCAATGTCCCGAAGCGTGTGGAGGAGCAGTGGCCAGGTAGACCGCCAGTGACTATGCTTGAGGCCTCGTGCACGGCGTGGTAATGCATTTAAGATGGCGTCGATGGTATGTTGATCATTGGGTATGAGCAAGGGAAACGCCTCGTGCAGCCGTTGAAGTGTGGGTCCAACCAGCAGGTAGGAAAGAAAGTGGCGGCAGTCGGCTTGGCGTGCACCACAGTGGCAATCCTTGAGAGGATAGGAGGGCAAGCAGTGCATCCTCCATTTTACTAGGCGGTGGCGAGCAGCACTATATGCTGCCTGCTTTTTGCAGCCCCGCTTTTTACAGATCCTCAGTTTTTACAAATTTTTTGGAGCAAACCCACTCATCACTTAATAAAATTGCAGTTTCCTCACTTTTTGGATTTTGCAGGCCAAAAATGGGGTCCTGCAATTTTCCGCTATTGACTCGGGAGCCTGGGATACAGAGTCTCGAACCAGTGACATCTATCTTATTTCCATAAAGAGATAATTTTTATTACACAAACTTTTTACAGCTAAAGATACGCGGTAATTGAAGATTGTATGGTCTGGCTTTGCTTTCTTATATCATCTCGAATCTTTCTGAGTTCGTCTCGGACTCTTTGGTGTTCTGGGGCATCTAGAATACTGATAGTTTTTTCTAGAGTTCTGATTTTTTTCCGCATAGTATATGCTGGAAGTATACCGATCCAGAGTGAGCACCTTGGTCCCCATCATCACGATCATTATTAGCAACATATCACCTGCTTTTATCTCTTCTTGGAGCACAGATTGAACAATTTTTTCATCGGAAAGTAGTGGATGGACAGCTGCAATTTACTCAGGTGGATCTGCATCAAAAGTAAAGCTTTCCAGATTTTCAATGCCATAAATGAGGTTCAAGTGATTGTCAATCTGACCAAGAGCTACCTCATCTGCATTATCTGATGCACTGTTGACATTGTCATCAATCATTTTCTCTACTACCCCTGTTTTTTTTGGTAACAGTTCCTAATGGTAGATTCGGAGACTTTTTTCCAAGCTTGATGGCACCATGCAATTCCGATCAAAACTTTAACATGGAACGTGTTGCCATTATTAGCAGGTAGGTCTTTCTCCAGACGCTCTTGAATGCTGTTATATGCATGCTCATATTGCAGATTCCTATTACAATAACAGAAATAATAGCCTTAGTATTTCCATCTACAATGCATGGAAGTAGATCACTAATCATCACAAAACATACTTGAAATGTACTTTAAAGCTGCGAATAATGCCGGCATCCAAAGGTTGCATTAATGAAGTTGTATTTGGCGGCAAATACACCAGCTCGATGTTCTTCGGGACGTAATCACAGTAGTGACCGGAAAAGTTGTCAAGCAGCAAAGCAATCTTTCGCTTTTGATAGACCATAGAATCGTCTAACATTGTGAGATATTTCTTAAAAATCTCACGGGTCATCTAAGCATTGGCATTTCCACAGTACTTGGAGATATCGGTTTTCTTTCTTTGGGCCTATCATTGCGTAAAAGACAATTGTGAGTAAGTCATCAATTTGACCTTGAAGAAGTATCACATACTTGATCAAAACAATTTGGCCGCTTTGCCTTGCCAATGAACCAAGGATACCACTTATCAGAACCATCAGCATTCACTGTGAGGGCTAATGTCAACCGCGATTTATCCTGTTTGAATCCTTTGAATGACCTAGGTGCAATGGTAGTCACGGGGGCACTTGCGTAGAGTACTGCAGTCTCATCCATATTGTAGATGTCTCTTGGGGGATATTTTCTCAAGACTTCCTGGATTTCCGGCAGCTGAGCTTCTGCTAGTGTGACATTAGCAGAGCTTGCTTTACCACTGATTGTTTGCACCTTCAACTTGTAGCGGTTTAGGAAGCGATTTTGCCGGCACGGGTAGTGTGGATGAGGCAGCACTGTCCAATAAAAATCAACCATGACGTTTTGGGCTGGCCAATAAATTTTGACTATGACACTGTTGCTGGGATTTAAATAAACTATCTGCATGTGCATGGCGAGAGTGCTTCATCTCTTCTAATACTACTACTGTCAAAGGCCGTGTCAACAGTGTCAAAATGTTCAATTTTAAAAAACCTGGAAGAAAGAAAGGAGGAAAAAATCCTAATGCCGGAAGAAAACCCAAAAACTCGCAATCTTTACCTCAAGGGCAATCTGTGCTTTGTTTCGCACAAGATTTCACTGATTCAGCAACAAGTGATTTCAGGGACGACACCAGCAACAGCAACGACGAACGCACGTCTGCCGAGCTACCTAGAACGCCTTTGGAAGAACCAGCTGAAGTCGAAGAATTAGCAAGTATTCGTGGGCTACTAGAAGTTGACTCGAATACAAGCAACAACATCGACACTACTGGAGATGATGATGATGATGAGACTGAAGAGGCAGATACACCGATTCCAGAGAAAGACGAACGTGAAGGCGAAGATCAAGACAGTATACTTGAAAAGTATTTTTTTGGCCTTTAAGATCGGCATACGAGATGACATGAAAAACGATAAACAGGATAATATGCCTCACGAATATCACAACGGCACATTTTGGGTTCACCCAAAATCTCCTTTCTTTGCATTGATGGATGGAATCGATCCAAGCAGCGTGTATCTTCCACATGTGTTTCTATGGTTCCCTCATCTTCTGCTCCAAAAGTTTTTTAAGAAAAACTAAAGTGCCTAGGTTGCAAAGTAACTCTCAGAAACAATGGTTATACAAAGACTACTTTTGCGCGCAGAGTAATAGACATTGATAGGTAATGATTGAATAGCGATTATTTTGGCACCATATATGTGATATGCTTAGTTATCAAAGAGTTCTGTCCTAAGTTAAAATGTTTAGCTGCTTTTATATTATGGGGTATCGTTACCAGTGCCACATACCAAGTTGCAAAAAGAGTTATATCTGTAACGACCCAGAAATAATCCGTCAACTACCAGAAATCTTGCAATGCGAGTACCCTGGATACATGACTCATCGAAGTGGGTTATCAAAAGTTGTTGGTGACCTCTATAGACCATGTGTACAAAATTCAGTTGGCTCGAAGCGATTCCGCAAGATAATTCGTGAAGTACATCGATTAAAACACGCATGGCTACATTTACAATATATTCAGTATATCGTATATCGGCGCTTTGATCAACAGTCAATTCATGATATGTTTGATAAGCAAGAGACTATAACACCATTCTCTTCATTTGACGATCGATCCAAGTATGCCGGTCACGTTCCATCCCCTCAATATTTTCGTTCATTTTATACTGCGTTTATTCGAGAAATACGACATCTCATCGACAAGGAAATGGAAGTGCTTGACAGAGTGTATCTTAAAGATGACCATACCTTTAAGATAATCAAGCTGATAAACAAGATTAACGGTCGACCAGTATTTGCCGCTTTATATACGGTCCTGAACGAATATGAAGAAGTCCGACTTCAGTTTCTTGTTCCAACAAAAGCATTATCCAATCTCAAATATGCATTTGACGCCATGCGACATGCATATGATTTGTACGGATACACACAGCCACAAGTATTTTTTACGGACAACGTAACTGGGGATCAAAGTTTTCTTAAAGAAGCTATACCATCACTTTTGCAAGACGTGGTACCCGTTGTTGAACAAGAAAACGAGGGGCCGTTAAATGCTCGTTCCTACCCACTGCTTACTATTCCAAGCAACGTTGAAATCAAGGCTATACGTGGTGCTCAAGATATCGAAACTAGTGCCAATAGCATCATCAACAAAGGCAGCTCACAAGCTATTGGATTTGATTGCGAATGGACATTCAACACTACGACCCGCCAACAAGGAAAGGTAGCAACAATCCAGATTTCAGACAACGACTGGGCACTTATAATGTGTGTGTCTGACCTAGACGAATTACCGAGTTCGTTATGCAAGTTGTTAGAGAGCGAATCGATTATGAAACTTGGGCGAAATGTCAATGGTGATTTGAAAAAAATCGAACGTGATTTCAAGGTTGTTTGCGAAGGAGGGTTCGAATTAGGTGCGTTTTGCAAAGGTCAAGGTGCAATTACCGATGGACGTATAGGACTTACTGGAATTTGTGAAGCTGTATTGGAACATACATTGAACAAAGACGACTCTATTCGACTGAGTAATTGGGATGCAACGCAACTGACACAAGACCAAATTGATTATGCCCCTCTCGATGCATGGGCATCTTTAAAAATTTTTGAAGAAGTCAAGAGGCATGGTGTAATCGGTATACGTATATCTAATCCTAGTCCTGACAATGAGGGTAATGTACTGGATAGATGAAATTCAACAGCAGTTTTATAACGCTGGAACTAAAGCTTGTATATATTTTTTAGGTAATCCTGTACCGTATCATCCTGGGTCGTTCAACGAGCCTGTCGCATATGGTGTAATTTCCAAGCAACAAAAAAGACTAGATGGAGTTAGTTAAAAAAGGCCGCGTTATCATTACTATCAAAAGAACTTTGGTGCCCGGTGCCATGGTGAATGCACATGACAAGTGCCTTCGAGATTTTGCGAGTCCTCCGTTCGAAATAGTTGTCAAGGTTCTGAGCTTCGTACTTACAAGACTGTTTCAGTACAAGAAACACCATCTGCAACAACCATATCACCAGCTACTTCAGCTATATCTACACCGACTCAACAATTGATTAACCAACAGACATATTTAGAAGATGGTAATATGGTGCAACCGATTTTAAATAGACAAAAATGAAAATTTATAACAAAATTTTGATTTGAAATCCCGCTACTATAAAAGGAAATTATTACATGCAACTAGGGCGACGATGGGAGGTGAAGACAGTTTTTGCTTTTTTGTAAAGCTCATCTACTTCGCAGCCATCAACATTCCCTCCAGCATAAATCTCTATATAAAGCCATGATTTGGCAGCGAAGCGCCGGATCATTGGCAAAGAAACAGAATTTAGAATTCCTGGAAGACGTCGCTCAAGCGATCTATAAGAATAGTCGCACTGCAAACGTGCTTCACGCTTTGCTCTGGCCCAATAGCGTTCTATGAAGTTTGTCTCGCAATGAAATTTTGGATAGAGCTCAAACTTGTGATGTCTTTTTTTCACAGCTTCCTCTAGAGCGGATTTCTGATTTTTAAAATCAGGCTCGTTTGCAAGAATATGGCGTGCACAACATTGAACATTAGTTGCTGATTCAGCGCCACAACTTGCACGTACTCCACCTTCAGGCCATTTGCCCCTTTCTTTCAAAATCTATAATATCATGTTTTGTAGAGTATATGTTCTGAGTACTTACCCACTTTATGAAAAATTGTGATGGTTTAATCTTACCGTTTGAATCCCTTTGAAGTATCTTTGCTTATAGCGGGCTCCGTTACGGCGTCTTGTATACTGCTTGTCCTCGTAGTAAAAGTCGTAGAGCTTTGCTGATCCATTCTCATTCAAAGTGTAACCTTGAGCTTTGAATGGGTACTTCAAGTCTTCTACCTTTTGGTCCTTGAGGATCATCCGGCTTGGGCGCAAGGCGTTTGCAGCATAGGCATTGTGGTTTGAGCTTTGGTCAAAACAGAAGACACCTAACAATTGCATACATTTAAGTCATTTTGAAGATAACTTCCTTCTGTATGACGTACCAATGCAACTAGGGTGGAGTGCCTCGAAAATCGGCAATGCCTTTTTTGTTAACTGTTCGAGCATATGCTCATTCTTCCAATATCCTTCGTTATTTTTACCGGCCTTGAAATATTCTCGGGCTTCAAATGGAATATTGTGCTGTTCGGCAAATCCAGGATCAAGGCGCATTGGACCATGGCACTCGCAAAGAAAATCGCTGACCATGATCGAGCCTCCTAAACCCTTTTTTCGCAGCACCGTATCCCCTTCTTCAACCCAAATATCAGCCTTGGCATCATTTGAATAGAAGGTGGATTCATCGTGAGTGACGAGGACATGGCGGAGACGTCCGTTTGTTAGATCTGGCATGATCTCTTGTTCCATATCATCACCTGTATACTGAATCATCAGCTTTCGGTAATCCAACATTCTTTTTGCCCATTCAATGCGGTATGCTACAACGTCAGGTCTTTCATGTCCGTCATAGTAAATCTTATTATGGGGTTATAAGGATTAGTCAATATTTGACGTAATTATACATCATCATTGCTGCCTATTCCTTCTACTCACATTTTTCGTGTAGCGCTTATATCTGTAGCCCCATGCATGCAAATGGTTCAAAATCGTATCTTCAGCTACAGATCCTTGTACTCCAAGCGTTTCTGGAATTATTCGATTTTGCAGCTCACTTTTCAACAAAGCAGCTGAGCGCAGCTCTGGCTTAGTCTTCTTCCAGAAAGCAATACATGCTTTTTTCACATCCTCGTCGCTCAAAAATGATTTGCGCTTGGCATGCTTTCCTTGACGGTGCGATGGTAAGTGACCGTTCAAAGCGAGATACGTCTTTGTCCAATGGCCAATTGCACGGCTGCGGTAAATAGAGCCACCTTGCCAAAGCGTCGTTGCTACTTGCATGCATGCTTCACCTTTCTTCATGCCATTTTGGCGGCACTCAAAGTACTTGGAAATACTTAATAAGCGAAGGGATTCATAGGCTTTCAAACCACCTATTTCCGACTTGGAATTAGAGACGCGCTTAATTTTTTTTGATAGAGCTGGCATATGTTCGACAATTAGCTCGAGTTCTTGCTGACTTTTTGACAATGTTGGCGCCGCAATGATTGTTGGATCCGGTGTGGATTCGGAGCTATCGCCAGCAACTGAAGGTGTTGTAGTAGCAGTAAGAGAGTAGAAGTCCGTCATCCGATGACACGTTTTTGCGATTTTTTTGGTTTCCTTATCATCTTTTTCCTTTCGCCAGACTGACATAACCGAAGTGCCTACATACAAATTTTGCTTAAATCAGCATTTAAACTATCATGGTTTGTATTTCTCTCAATGCACCTCTCCTATGCGAGCTTCTAAGATAGCTGTCACTGTTGGGCTTCCAAGAGAGAAGACTACGCCACAAAATTGCCTTCAGTTCATCTTCTGAAAAGCCACACAGCATCTAATCGTCGACATCTTCTTTATAGGTCAAAATGGATGACTGCACGTCATCCAGCTGATTAACCTCTTCGATGGTATTTTCTGCAGCCATAGCTGGGACACTTTCGGGTTCAGGTACATCAGGTACTGTAGCTACGATAGTAACGACACTCTACATATAATGAATATATCTAATCAGCAAATGATGATGTGTAGTACAGCATATATAATCTAACCTCAGGAGCAAATTTTCCATTTAAGCGCGCCTTTTTCATGGCAGCAGTAGCTTTTCCTTTACGTTTAGGCATGATAAATGATACAAAAGAAGGCAGAGGAAGAACAAGGAACAATCATGAATATAATTAGCTATGTATATCAGAATACCATGAAGCTTGTGTAACATTGCTGATATTTTAGGTGACACAAACGGCTTAACGGTCTTTGAAAATATAACAAAATTTCAGCCTTCCCTGCTTAAAGTCCCCAAAAGTCCCCAACTTCAAATGCTATCTGCTCCTCGAGATCAACTTTTAAAAAGAATCTAAAACACAAGTTTTAAACTACATATGTCACTCTATTAGACTTGTGAATTGGTTTTTTGATTTTTTTTGTTCCCATTGACTAGATAGATTCCAAAAAAATCTAAAAATTTTGTCTATTTAAAATCGGTTGCACCATATTAGATAATGAACGGATTGTAACAATACATGTTTAATACATTACTAATACATATTATACTTTTTGTATAAAGGCACAAGTAATCCACCCATGGAATCGGATGACGAAGATGTTGATTTGGACCAAGAAAATGAAAGTTTACCAATCATTGATGAAGAAGGAAATTTGCTTGAAATCAACCGAGATATTGACGTGTCAAGCCGAGACTACGGCCAGCAACTATTTCGACAACAACAACAAAACGATAATCAAAGCAGCAGCAGTACCTCGGCCACTATCAATCAAACAGCTCCAATACACTCTCGTATTTGTTAAAAGAAGTTTTTCATCTAATGGATATGATAAAGGTCTCACGCAAACATAGATTATCCAAGGTTTTCTCAAGGGCATTCCGTGATGCATTGTTTGTATATGATGAAATTGATAAAAGACTGGTAACAGCGGTCCTAGAGGAGAAGAAAGAAACAACATGGGAGAAAAAACTTGCTGAAGATCCTGATTGGATATTCAAAAGAGTAAAGCGTAAGTTAAACCTTCAAATTGAATGTATAATCACTGGATTAACAAGATATGTACACTAACATAACGCTAATGTTTCATTATTATATTAGGTGTTGTGCCGCCTCCTAAAGATCTCTACCCTGTGGTGAAAAAACTGTTTGAAACTTATGGACCATTGCGCTGTGCTCGAACCAGACGACTATTATTTGATTTTGAAAATTGGAAGCAAGCAAAAAATGTGCTCACTGCCATTCATCTGGGCCACGTATCTGACCCACCTGGTATCCCCTTTATTTTGACCGTGGCCAAGATAAAGATGGTCTTACACTATATCGCTGTAGCCGTGGTACAAATTCGTTCGAAGGTGGAATACACCAGAACCTGATTCGTACGATTGGAGCTTTTGGTGCCAGTGTTGAATATGTTGATGCTCTACTTGTAGATTATAGACTTAGGCACAACATCAATGTGAGTAATAGCTTTTAATTTATTATTTCATTTTACATTCGGAAAATTTAAAGTTTGGATTGACATGTATGTTTGGTTGTAGATTGGGACATTAAATAGGTTTGGACGTATTCACGACCGTCATTACGATCCGTGGATATCACAACATATCAATAACTTGGAAACAAAACTTATCCTTCCATGCAGCTACAGAGGGCCTGGTATACATACACACTCTCTTAACCTCAAGTCTTCAGGCGAATTATTTGGTATATCTCCCTTGGATCCAACATTATCGGAAATGTACGACATTGACAAAGCAACACCAGTCCAAAGCACTTCACACACCAATTCATCGTCATTAGATATTGCCACGTTAATCATGATCAATCGTTCAACTGCAGAAGTTACTGGAGCTCAATACAAGTATATTGCCGAATGTCAAAGAGCAGTACACGCGATTATACCAGTTCACACAGACAAGGAGAAAAGCACATTCGATTCAATTCTTCGTCACCAGTTCCCAAACCATAGATTCAAAATCACAGACTTTCTTCGATTCACCAAACTTTGGTCGCAAAAGGTTAACGGCACAGATATATTCTATAAAACACCAGAGCAGCTTTCTGTTCTTTACACAAAATGGAAAGAAATCGATAATATCATATGCACCAAAAACAACAACAAAGAATCCATAGATAACATGAGCAACGATTTGAACTCGACGACCCGTAAACGAACAGCACCACCTGCACAACACCCATCTCCATCAAAAACACCACGTACTGAAAGCATAATCCAAAACGATAATACCTCACGTGCCTCGTCATCTACAAATCGCCTTGATTCTCCTGTTACAATTTGTCCAGCTCCAGCACTTATCGATACGCAAAATCTAGCCACCTTTATGTTCCATCAATTACTAGCAAATATTCTACAGCAATTACCTTCCATGCCTCCAACACCGTCAAATCATTCACAACATGAATTTCCTCCTGTCAGACTTCAGCCATTACAATTTTTAAGTAAGAAAAATAATTTGTCGATCAAAGTATCCGCATATTTTGACATTGTAAATATATTTAGCACCTGCATCCAGTTCAACAAACCCAAATTTTACCACGATGCCACAAACATCTACAAGTAGCAACAGTAGTGGTGGCATTAACAACGGTACCAGCAACAGCATACTTGATGGCCTTCGTAAAAAGAACCAAAAAAAATGTAGTGTTTGTGGCAACATTAAATGTAAAGGCAAAAACAATAGGACAAAATGCACAGCGAAATGTAGCTTCTGTGGTAAAATCGATTGTACCAACAAAAATAACAAAATAAAATGCAATCCAGACAACAGCATTTAATCGCCTACCAATATAAACCATCAGTTATCCTATATCGCTATGAACATTTATAGTATTCTTACACAGCAATAAACTCTACTTTCATATTATTACAGTATCATTTTGAAAACTTTCCAAAAACAAAAAAATTATTTCTCTTTGCCTCATACATGCTATCCGTGCCATTTTGCCAACCATTTGAGAACGTCAGTTCCTTGGACGGAATACTCAGTTTGGCTGCAAAATTTTCACCAGCTTTTCTGATAATATCCCAATTGACTGGGATCTTCTCAAAAAATCTTTGCTCTATCCATGTATAGAGGGCATATTCCAATTCCTATTTGTTTCTTTATTAATTATATGAATAGCGAAGAAGAATTTAATTATTTAGACCTACAGGAAACTTTGCACGCGACTTTTGTCTTTTACTACTGTCAACGCCCTTCTCTTCATCTCGCTTTCTTTTCATGATCATTCTCGAGATAGTTGTTTCGTTGGGACCATTTTCAAGCTTGTATTTTCCTTTAGCCCAGTCAAGCAATTGGCCATAAGTAAACTTGTGATTTTTTTGCTCTTGAGCAATGTAATGTTGATATAAAGCGTCGTTTTGCTCGTCAGTAAGCTTTTGGTATTTCGCTTTTGAGGAATAAACATTAACACGATGTAGGGATCCGTATCAGAACCGTAGAACCGGAACCGAACCGAACCGAAACCGAGAAAATATGGTTCGGTTCCTACCAAGAACCAAACCGGAACCGAACCGGTTTTGTATACGTAGAACCGAAGAACCGAGAGGCAGAAGATTGCATTTAGCAATTTTGGTAATTAGTATAAAGTAGGCTATAATGGAAGTTACGAACAATGTTACTCCTTATTAAAGACCAAGAAGTAGTGTATTTGCAAGCCATACTTTATTCAAAAACTTAACAAAACCTGCAAAAGCAGAAGGGAGGGAAAAATAGTAAAGAAGAGAAGAACAAAAAAAAACACTTCTTTTGACGGCAGCTTGCTTTCTCTGCCCATAACGCGCATCATTACTTGTTCCTCTACTTTGCTACCCACAATGCATTTTCTCCATGACGTACTACTTTACTAGATTCAGCATGGCTTCTCGATCATTTTTATCAAGTTTGTGCATTCTGTCTGAGATTGTGCATCCTGGGGCCCATAACAGAATTATCTTACCCATTGACACTTTGCCTTTTATGAAGAATTATACACACGTAGAGACATAGTAGCTGTGTGTACTGCCAGTTGTGGTTTGATTCCTCCAATGTTACAATAACGTATTGTACTAGTAATACTACGTCGCTCTAGTACTATAAACTCCACTTTTTTTTGTGAAAACTATGCTTTAATCTTTTAACCATGCAATGACCCACATTGTATATAAAATGTTTCTCTTATTCATTTTGAAATCGCTGTTCAATGTATAATAATAAACTATCTTTTTTACTGCAGTATTCAAGTATACCGTGATATTTGAACACATATACATCAGCTTTCATTCAAAGATACTGGATTTTGCCTTTTTTATATACATGACAGGTTCAGTTCTTCGGTTCGATTCTTCGGTTCTACGGTTCTCATCGGTTCTAGTCGGTTCGGTTCTTGCTTTGGACGGTTCAGTTCGGTTCCCTAACACGATGTGAATAAATTTTCTCTAAATTTTTTCTTAACTGACAATTTTTTTTATTCTCGGAGTTTGAAATCGTGCATACAGTTAAATTTTATTTAAAAAAAAACTGAATTTTTTTTAATATAAAAATAAATACCTCCAATATTACTTGGCATAAACAATTCTAATGGTTATATTAAATACTGAACTTCTTATTAATAAGAATAGTATGATTTGTTCTATTAAAGATTTAATGGAGCAAGTTATGCATAATTATTTTGAAGATGAAATGTTAGTTAAAGATATTGAAAGTAAGAAGATGATTATGAAAAAAAAAATTAATGAAGAAATTAATAAAGTTAAAGTTAATTATTTTTGGTATGTTAATACAAGCGATAATGTGTGTACTTACATACATGTAAGAGGTAAGAAAAATGGCCATATGTGTCACAGAAAAATTAATACTAATCTTAATGGAGATAAACCTGATTACCTTTGTACTATACATAGTAAACTTCATGTTCCAAAGAAAAAAAATAAAAAATCTACAAAAAAAATAGAAAATCCTAATATACCATGCATAATTGTGAATGATGGTGATTTTATACATAAAACTAAATAACAAAAGAATAAAAAAAGAAAATCTAGAAAAATATATATATACAACAGTAGAAGTTTTAACTTAGCAAATGTACTTGAAGGATTATTACAATAATAGGAACCGACGTTATCCACTATACACACTCAAATAATATATCTTACATAAAATAAAATAACTATACATAGTTATGATATTTTATTAGGAAGGGTAGAGTATTGAGTTATCTAAGTTAATTTATTAACTTTCATATAGTTATTTAACATATTGGTTTCATTAAAATTTTTCATTCATATCCAGCTATTTTGGGGTTCATTATAACCTTTCCATTTAATTAGGAATATATAGGAATCATTTTCAAATTTATGATTTATTATGGATTCTATTTCATAAGAAATATTAGAAGTTGAATTATTTCTAATTTTATTTATATCCATTAATGTTCCTTTGCCTTTACCTTTTCTTTTTCTTTTTTTCTCATTGAATTGAGGTACATCTTCTTCGCTGGAAACATCTTTATCATTATCATTTTCATCACTGTATTCATTATCAATAATCATATTAGTATTATCTATACTTAAATTATTTAAAAACTGTTCCTGTAATTTAACCATTTCATCTAATTTGTTTTTTGCCTCAGATGAATTGCTAATAACTATATCTATTAATTTAGCTTCGTGTGAAAATTCAAAATTATCTGATTCCCACAATTTGTGATGTGCTTGTGTATTAATATTAAACTTTTCACTAAATATTTTTATATTTTTTAATAAATAAGCAACACGAAATTGAAGATTATAAAACTTTTATGTTGTCCATCTTAACAATAGATTTATTATTATTAAATCTATAAAATTTATTACCTATTGCAGCAAATTGGTCTTCTATTTTTAAACGAAAGCTACCAAAAACATCATTATAATGCCTTTCTTCTGCTATTAAATCTATATTCTTTTCTTTGCGTATAGGATAAACAAAATTGTTAAAAGATAAATCATATCCTTTTTCCGCACCAAGTTCTATAAGCTGATTAACAAATAAAGTATAACCACTATCTGTTGCCAATACATCTTTAGATATTTTTTTATATAATTTCATGATCAAAAACATACTTCCGTCAGAACTATCAGAACAATAATCGCTTTTGGAAGCATATAAAATCATATCGTTAATATCGCTAACAATTTGTGTACGAACTCCATTTTTTTTAAATTTATATGACCATAATCTTTCATGTTTTATATCAGTATTTAACATAGTTAATTCTTAAATCATGACCATCTATTATAAAAGTTATGTGTTTAAAAAGTGGTGGATTATAATTATAAGAAGATAAAATTCTTAAAGTTAAAGAAGAAAACATATTCTCTATAGAATCATTAACAATTTTATTTCACCTTTTATAGTTATCTTCATCTATCCAAAACTTTTTATAGTATTTGTGAAATAATGTTTGCGGGATAAACTTATTAATTTCAACACCAGAAACACCAGAAACTAAATGATATAATAAAAATAAACCTTTTTCAACTTCAAAATAAGGGCCAGGATATTCACAGCTAGTATATAAAACAACCAAAAAGAAAAAAACAGCTATATGACCAAGTTTATCTACTAAAATCTTTTTAATATCATCAATACCTTTAATATGTTTTAATTCTGTACGATGCTTGTAATTATAATTAACAATTGGCCAGTTATATTCCAAAAATTCCCACTTATTAACAATAATTTTGTTAACTTCATTATTAATCTTTTCATCTATTTCTTGGTTATCCATTATAATATATTTTTATATTTAATGAAAATTCAATTTTTTTTATATTCAATTTTAAAAATATAATAATTTTGTAAATATGAGGAATTTTTATGAACCTTAAATATTTTGTTGACCTTAGTTTAGATGAAAAACTTCAACTAGTAAACATCCTCCTTTACCATAGTGGTATGGAGATGTCGATAGTGCAGTATATAAACATTAAGAGTGAAATGACAGCCTTTTATATAAGAGTTGAGTTATAATAAGTAGCCTCAGCACAGCACCGATATCTTTTAACTGGTTTACTATCATTGACACTTATCTACTCTGAAAGAGAGAGAGGTCGTTACGATTCATTCCCAGCACTATCCTTTTTTGGATACTTCAATTTGCAACACCTATGCTATTTTTCCTTAAAGCATCCCCAGTGGTTTCAGTAATTCAGCTGCAAAATCAAGATCTGAAATAAAATTTCCACAACTGTTTTCGACATCACTTTTAAGCAGAATACTTTGAGAACATATTTTCAGCATTATTTGAAGAACAATTGGGGGGCGGTGGGGGGGCATTGCCCCCACCTAGGGTCTAGGGCAGAGCCCCAGTAAACTCGCTCCTGAAGGACAGATGTGACATGCAGCGAAGCGAAGGGGCTCACATCATCTGGAAGCGAAGCGGAGGGGTGAGTTTATCAACATAATAAACTCAGTCTGTGTAACATCTCATACTCATCCTCACTTTTTGCAGTTTTTTCCACCAAAAACCGCTGCTGCAAAAAGCGGGGGACCACTGTATCCAGAGGCACTTGGTACATCCTGGCCATCCGGCCATTGTACTGCGCCATCTTGTGCAGTACCTTGGCCTTAGAAAAAAAGGCCGTCTTCAAGTCTAATGAGAGTTTCTCGCCCCTCGTCTTCCTCCAATCCTCAATGATACCAGCGGCCTCTTGCACGGTCTCATTGTAGAGCGTCATGTAAAAGCCCTCGCCACAAAGACACACGCGTGCAACGAAATAGTTTTTTTACGTACTGAGCGGAAACTGTCCTCTTCTTACCTGCATCACTGAGAGGGGCAGTGATGACACCTCCCTCTGGAATGCATGGTGCGCCTTCGGTAAGTAGAAGAATGCTGCGACTTCCACTTCACTTAAACGTTGTTGCCGCGGCTATTATTGTGGAGAAGAAGACCGGTTTGAATAGATTCGCTGGAGTTCGCTGGAATTCATTGGAGGTGAGAATGTGGTGAGAGTGATGGGATGAAAGTGTTGTAAAGTGTAAATAAGTGAAAGCAACGCGCGTCGTCATATCCGCAGTAGGATTAAATTCTACTCCGTTGCACATATTTGGAAAGTGTGTCGTTACACATGCGAAGATTGCGAGGATTCTTTCCCGTGGTGATTCTTTGCGCTCGACACTACAATTAGATTACTGTACGTAAGTTGCAAAACAGGTAAAGCAGTTGAAACGATTGTTGACAATTCTGACGTTGCAAGTATCATTACAATTATAGACGTTGACAGTGAGTAATTCTGTATACGTGTTAACTACCTAGTGAATAGATAAAAGAGATTCAAACTTTTACTTATTAGAGTATAAAGAAAGCCGAAAACACAGTTTGTGTACTTTATCACAGGAATCGAATAGTCAAGAAGAAGACATAGGTATGAATAGCATGAGCGAAAGTAAGTATTGATTGGAGAAGTAATCGCCAAAGTGCTGCACCCTTATCAATGTATGGCGTTGAAAGCAGCTTGTTGAGGTTAGTGAGCGACAGATGTACAAGAATTCGAAATATCCTGCGTAGATAACGATGGCCATTCATTTGGTGAAGAGATATTAGGAAGCATACCGCATGAAGCCAAGTGCAACAACAACGCTATTCAATCAAGGAAATTAATTGATGCATATGGTCCCACGTACCGCGACGCCATGAACTTACCAATAAGTTCTTGAGGAAGCTGTGCGATGTCATACTAGTTTTTATTGAACATGACAAAGTACGGATTGAAGCTTTCTGGCCAGACGAGAATCGGCACGAGACCAAACTCTTTTGAGGGACCTAAGCTGAATCTTTCGACGTATTAAGCCGAGGTACAGTATAGTTTTGCTCTTTATATATAACGATCCTAGGCTTAAACTACTATGTATACATAGATTTATTATAGATAACATTCTACCCCGAGAGATGGGTCTGGAAGCGTTTTCGCATGAAGCGCACGAGAAGTGATCGGTCATTATTAGACAAAGGGGCTTGGGAACAGTCAAAAAACGTCTTGAAGACAACTCTGATGGTCAAGTATTTGATCTCTCAGGCGTTTCGTTTTTGTATACTATGGGCAAGGACAATGATGCTTTGACCATGTATCCATGCTGCCGTGGTACGGATTCTTTGGAAGGAGGCATTCATCACAATGTGATTCGCACAATCGGCTCTATTAAGATAAGCCCAAAATTGTCGGGTGCTTTGTTTGCAGATTGCCACCTCTCCCACACATTTGATGTAGGTACATAAATAATGCAATAACCATCATCCATGCTTGTGCGGTTGCTAAGATATCTTTTAGTTGTCCGGTGGATGCTGTCAACAGATATGACAGGGTTCATAAAGGGCATATGAACCTTGGCTTGATTAATGCATTAACGACCTTCGAGCATCACTTGCTCTTTTTTTAAGTAAGCTGCACCACGAATTCATCAGCATGCGACACGTCTGTAAAGCTCAGGAGAAGAGCTCGGCATAACCAGCGCACCGATAACACTTCTGGAATATAATGGCATCAAAGTACGAAACGCCGTCAATATCAATTCTGAGCCAACAACATCACCAGAAGGTTTTTAGCTACATTGGTTATCTTAACGGGTACCACGTTGCCAAGGCATGGAGCACGATTCGATTTTAGCAGCAAGAATCAAAATGCTCTACATCCAGTTCTTCCAGTATACACTGATTCCAAAAATCATCTTTTCAAACAAAACGAAAACACGTCCAGGAAGGTCGGCAACCTGATCACAACGCCTTAAAAATGGTTGTCTCATACAAGACACCCGAGCACTTGCGTAGCTTTTTTAATAAATGACAACGCAGCAGTCTCTACAAGGCCAAAAGATTCTACAATCAGACAGTTTGACATTTAAGTGAAAGAACCAGCATACGCACGGAGGAGCGGGACCCCGTGACAAGTAAGGATTCTTTCCGAAAGCTACAGTCGGAGGAGCGAGAGGGCCCAACCAACCACACCGAGTTATCATATAAAATGATAAATGTCTCGAAATTTTCGTAAAACAAGTGAGGTTAATTCAACATACGCCCGAAGGCAAGGCAACCTTCTATGGAGAGGAGGACCACTTCGGTAGATAAGTCCACATTTATTCAGGGGTTAGAAGGCTTATTGCCTACTCAAATTAGAGTCTCTATAATCTACGGGGAAGGGTTGCTACGTTTCTCCATAGCCAGAATTCAGTTAATGACTCTGAATGCATCTTTAGATGCCCCGGAGAGACTATCTGTCTTATTCCTTGTACGGGAGGGATCGGCAATCCAGCCACCCGACCGAAGTAAAGAAGCCCGACAGTCAAAACTACTTCCAAAACTTATTTATAAGTAAGGAAATAATGTCGCCATCTATAAGGATGCTGGTCCCAAGCCCAGGTAAAGACAGAGGGTTTCCGACATGGAGGGAGAGCCTCGGGGATCACCGGTTTTTGACCCAAAATCAGAAGTCGACATGCCCAACAACGTGCATCTTTTGAGAATCCGTCGCTTTGATGATATCTCACAATCTTTCTCGATTCCAACATCGTATCTCTATCTTCCGTTGATTCGCAGCTAGCAAACCAACAACGCTCCCAGCGACCAAGATCCATTGCGCCATCGCCGCTACTTCCTTTACTATCACAACAAATTTCTCCTAGACGCTTTTACACCACCGAACTCTCCCACAAAAAACGAAAAGTACATGCATGCAACAAAATGCAAGGAAAGGATCTGTAGAAGAGGATTGGGACGGAGCCCTGAATGTCTACGCTTATATGGATAGCGCGAATCAATCTCTTTTTCACTTAAACTTGTATTTACTTGTTGTTTCGTACAAGCTTTGTAAAGCCACGCTTCGTAGCTATACCACCCGAACTTGACGTTTTGCGTCGCAACGAATCTTTCTCTTGTCGCTGCTTTTCTTTGACGATTCCAGGTTCATTATTTTCGACATTGGCTGGGTCTATGTTGCTGGTCTTGGTGTTATTTGTCATAGTAGATGATTGGCAATATAAACCACTTTACAAAATTGGGGAATGACGTTACGCGAATGTGGTTACCGTCAGTGTTTGATTAGTAGTTTCTTTTAATATAAAAGAGTGAGAGAGAGAGATCTGATGTCTGACCGCCAAAGGCGGGTATGATACGGAGAACGACAATCATGCCGCAAAAAATTTATGCAGCAGTTTCCATTGATAACAAATTACATAAGCAAGTGGTGGAGAACCTAAATCCCAAAAAAGTACCAAGAAGCGTTCTTTTTCAAATGATAGAATTGTCATGCTCGAAGCAACTAGGAGTGTCCATGGATTTCGGCAATATCTGCTGGCTTTTCAAGAAAAAGAAGAAAGCTTTGACATTATTTAAGAATAAGGGCGCTTGAGTATTACTATCATGAGTTCTCGATGGTGCAACGTTAAAATTGCGGCGTCGACACACAGATTGAATTAAGGCACCGCAACAAGACATAATCCTGAGCTCAATTTAATTTCTCTCTTCAGGTACAGATGATGGAACTCGACTTGCAAATGGTTCGACACTTTATCATCTCGCAAGAAGACTTTTATTATTCATTGCTAATTACTGCTGATGATGATGACGTGTTCAAAGTAGCAGTAAGACATCATGCTGATGGCTTCTTCAATGTACGTAAAAGTTATCACTTATTAGACATTTCGTAACAATAGCGTAGTAGTAGATTATTTATAGCAACTCCAACGTATTACATTTATACTCAACATTTGCTCTCTCCATGGAGCTATGATAGTTTCTCTGATGCCATTGACAACGTCATGGTAGTCGTCTATGGCAATAACAACGATTTAACTCTCATGCAACATACAGTAAATGTCGATTTTCTCCCCTGTGCCGCCTTGAAATCGAGGCATCTACATACAGTTCCTCCCTCCTTTTATGCCACATTACGTACATATCATACACAATGAACAAAATGAATAGAGTCGGTAAAAACATGCTTGAGAAAACAAGACATAGCCTTGAAATTGAACTGAAACCTCCTGCGGAGTTATCTTTCCACCTCCCTGAATCTGAACCAAAAATGCGTTGTTGTTGTGTATCCATCAGTGGTGTGTTACATTTGCTGTCGTCATGAAAGGTAACAATGGCATACCAACCTCTTATCATTACAGACATATGCAGTCAAGAACGACAACATGGTGTCATCAGCTTTTCTCAATGCTGATCGATCGCGCAGTTGTTCAAAGGAAAGAAAAAGCAGTAATAATAATTTTGATCCGACGATTTAAACAATGTTTCTCGAATAAAAAGGAGTGCCAAGAAGAAGTTCCAGTGCCTGAAAATCTCGTTGGCAGACAAGTCCCAAATTTGGGTTGTTTTTTTGTGTGTGTCTAAGTATTATAACCCTCTCGATTCTTTTAAATTTTCCAGCCCTTCTTTCTTGCTTTAATGGACAGCTGATCTCTTCTCTTTTATATATTGAAATATAACCCTTGGCTCGAATTGCTTATTTCAAAGAGTCCATTGCCTCCTCCTTATACTTTTAGTTCAGTCTCGATCCGCCAAAAAACCTAAATTCTCGGGTTACGCTTCTCCTCGTCATTCCCACACCAACCCCACCGCTTTCTTTTGTGGGAAAGCAAGAATTAATAGAAATAGGTCCTCATGATCCTTTCACGATTTTTGATCGTTTTAGTATTACTTTGCGGCATTGGACAAATCAGCAGTACGTTTTACACTTTGAATGCTACTCTCGGTCCACCCACACCCCCCCCCCACCTCCTTCCTTACTTGATAAAAACCGCTAACGTAGCCGTCTTTTTTATATGGATTAGGCCATTCTGTACCTGCTGAACGGATATCCCGAATAGAACCATTAGACAACCCCGAAATAATACTACATCACCACACAACAAAACAACACTCTCCTGCTACTACTATTAAACACAGCGATAGTTTTACATTACGATTTACTGCATTCGATACACGTATCAGCTTGCATTTGACACCTAATCATGATTTATTCCATCCGGATGCAACGACGCTTACATACGGACACGGAGAACGACGAAGAAAAACTGACGCAGACAACGATGACGACGACGACGACGATTCTATAGATGATTTTGTCGAAGAAGCTCTACATCCACACGATCATCGAATATTTAAAGGCGTCGCTGAGATTGACGATGGTAGTACAGCGAGTGGATGGGCGAGAATTACTATTGTTCGAGACGACGACGAGTAAGATTAAACAAAGTGCCTTTTATATTTATTTTTCGAAGAGGAAAAAATCCCCGCCCTCACGATTATCTTGGTTATATCTAACGGCAAACTATACGTTATAGACATCCATATCCGTACCCTTTGTTTGAAGGTGCATTTATGCTCGCATCCGACATTTACCATATTAAAACAACAACGAATTTCCATCTTAGCAAACGCGACGACGATCCAATACCCTCATCACATGCTCCCATGGTGATATATCGCGACTCGGATATGCAACAACCGTCATCAATAAGAGATGGTCAATTAATAGCGCGATCCTCTGACGACGACGACGCCGATTTCATGTGTTCCATGGAAGAAATGCAATTCAACCAAAAACTAACAGGAATGCGAAATACTTCGTCGGTATCTCCACTCCATGCAAACATTTTCTCTCTCAAGAACAACAACAACGACAACAACAACCCTCACCACTTTACAAAACGATTCAATCCACTCAGTGGATGTCCGAGCACACGCAAAATTGCATACATGGGTGCAGTCGCCGATTGCACCTACGTCCAATCCTACGGCAGTATCCGCTTTGCACGACTCCAAATCATCAATGACTGGAACGTTGCCTCGGCTGTCTACGAACGCACATTCAACATCTCGCTCGGCTTGATCTACATTCAAATGTCTCAGCCTGAATGTCCACGCCATCCAAGCTCTCGCCAGAATTGGAACCAGGAATGCTCGAGTTTCTATAGCATCAATGATCGGCTTTCAGATTTTAGCTTGTGGCGTGGAAAACGAGGGGATGATGGGGCCGCGTTGTGGCATTTAATGACGAAATGCTCGTAAGTTCCCCACTATGTGTGTCTCAAAAAGAGGGCAATTTTGGTTTTGATCGTCAACTTAACCCCCCCCCCCCTATTTTTTTTTAGCACGGGTGTCAAAGTTGGAATAGCGTGGTTAAGCCAACTGTGTGAATCCCAAGTGTCACAACAGATTGAAGGCAAGTATAGACATAAGAAAGAGGGGGAAGCGGGCTAAAACTAATCCGTCAGCTTAAATGATCTAGAAAACGGAGCATCGGAATGGGTATCCGGTACAGGCGTTTCGTCAATAACACGGGATGAATGGAAGGTCGTAGCTCATGAGATTGGACATGGATTTGGTATGTTGTTCTTTGATTGGGGGCAAAAACAAAGCCCATCCCAGCATTGGGTATTCTATAGACCCCTCAAATGGAACTACTACTTTATTTTAGGAGCGATCCATGATTGCACCGCACAGACGTGTCCCTGTTCGCTTTCTGGTTGTAGTTGTTGTCCACTAAGTGACAGCAAATGCAGCGCGGGTGACACATACCTGATGAATCCGACGAGCAATGTGACGAGCGAAGACTTTAGTCCGTGCTCCATATCCGATATTTGTGGGTCTTTTCCAAATATCGGCTACTGTCTTCAATGTAAGTAAAATAACCTTTTTTTTTTTTTTTTGGAAACAATTTGTTCTAAAATGTGCGTACCACAGCGCCAGATCTACGTGATACAACATCGTTTACCATGTGTGGTAATGGCATTTTGGAACCGGGCGAAGAATGTGATTCGGGACTGACCGATAGTGCATGTTGTCATGCAAAGACATGTAAATTGAAAACGGGTGCAGTGTGCGAGTAAGTTCTTTTATGAATCATGAAGAGAGAGAGAAAGAGAGAGAGAGATGTCTGGTGTGGATAGTAGACACATCTTCAAGACATCAATGTTTGTTTGTTTGTTTGCTTGTTTGTTGATGAAACCATGGTTACACATTGCATAACAACAAATGTTTGTTCTTTTAGTGACTATAGTCAACAGTGCTGTCTCAACTGCACCGTGGCTCCATCCACAGCCATGTGTCGCCCTGCAGTATCGGAGTGCGATATCCCGGAATACTGTACAGGGGAATCCACATCCTGTCCTGCAGACGTCTATCAAGAGAACAGGTCGGCCTGCGCAAACAATACAATGAATTGTGCCTCTGGCGTCTGTACGTCTCGTGACGAACAGTGCATCGCGCGTGGCATGCGTCTTGGCGTCACCGAAGAATGCTCGTTTCAAAAAGATTCGTGTCTCATTAGCTGCGCTGATCCCTTGGACCCAGGCAACTGTCTCGTGCTCAGTGGCGTCTTTCTGGACGGCACTGGTTGTGGCCTTGCCAGTATATGCGAGAAAGGTGCCTGTGTTAGTACTGGAGCATGTAAGCTACAACTTTTCAACAACTTCCAAGGGCCCAGGTTCTTTTTTCTAAAACAACAACAATAACTTTTTTTTGTTTTGGGGGCTGGTTCTTGTTTTCCATCCGATTGTTCAGTGAATACGCTCAAGGCATGGGTGGCTCAGAACAAACAAATAGCCATTCCTGTCTTTCTGTTTGGCAGTTTGATCATACTCGGCTTATTGGGGTGGCTAGCCTGGTTCATTATATCTCGTTATCGCCGGAACCGTCTGGCATCCAAGGACAAGGATTCTAGACCCTCCTCCATTGCAAACACTAGCAGTTATCAACTCGATGATATGGGTGGAATGAGTAGTAGTAATAATGATAACGGCGGTGGTGGCGGCGGCCCTGGTACTGGCGGTGAAGGAGTAGTCGGAGGAGGACCAGGAAATCGACAACGACAACAAAGTATGAGTGATGCAGATACGGCGATTACAATAAGAAGAACACAGCAGCAACAAAGCACGGGCTTTCATGATGCAGCAGCAACATCGGCAGAAGTCATATTATCAAACATCAACAACAACAATAATAGTATTAAACATAGTAACAGTACAGGCAGCAGTAACCATCATCACTTGATAGACACATCAGCACCAGCAGTAAGAGCACCAGGATGGCCGTCTGAAAGCATAATACGACGGAACAACAACAACGCCACTAGTAATAATGACGACATGGGTAATAGTAATGATAATACTTGGAGGAACCATCACCACTACCCAGCATCAGATACCCACTCGACACGATCTCCGTCACACCAGCACCGTTACAATCAATCGGAAGGCAGCAATTATTTGCCCTCGCTGCATCCGACTGAAACAACGGCAACGGACAGCTCGTTACACGGATCGACTAGCACTGCTCGGCGTATCGGGTTTCACCAGGGAAAGCAGCATCATCATCACGAAATGGCACCCATAGACTATGGTACTTCTGCTGGTGCTGACAGTACTGTGATTGCGACCGGAGGTGCAGCAGCAATGGCCGTTGTTGACATTGCCATAGCATCCGAGGGACAACGTCATCGACGAGCGAAATCGACAGGCGCATAAATCACCCTCATTCACAATTGTACATAATTACTTTCTTATTTTTTTTTTATTTTTGTACATAATGCCCCCCACCCCCTTATTTTTTTAACTTTTGTAATATACTACTACTAGTTGTACTTGGAAGCCAGCCAGATACTAGAAAGAGAAGTGTGTGTGTGTTTCAGCTGAGTGGCAACACTTTACAACGATCATGGGAGGAAATAGTAGTAGTAGTAGTAGTATAGTAGTAGGAGTATGTCACTCTTTGCCGAAAACAGTAAAGGGCGATTCATCAGACGTCGGCAGGCCAGAAATCAACAAGCCGAGAGGAAGGAGGGCACCTTTGCATTGTTTGTGTGTGCCTTGATGGGATGAAGTGCAGTACTAGTAAACACACGACATCAAACTTACTTTTTTCCTTCTCCGTTGAGGACCTTTTTTTTTTCCTTTCCCCTTCCTTCACACCCTTCCTCTTCTTTTTCCTTTTACTCGTTTCTGTCTGGTCTGCACATCTGCATAATAAAAAGGTATTTGGCTTTCTTTTTCTCTCTCTCTCTCTCTTTTTCTTTCCCTCTCCTCTCTTTATCTTTGTATGCGACATCATGTCTCACACATGTGACGTTATTAGGAAAGCAAGATGTCGTCGCAGGTATCATCTGTAGCTGATCGACTTACTACCGTCAACGAACAGGCATGGTTAACACTAGGTACTTTGAAAAAGTGTGTGTGTCTATGGTGCGGGCAAAAAGGGAAAAGAAGGGGGGAAAAGTCAAAAGTTTCAAAAATCACTCACTCACTCACTCACTCACTCACACACATTCTCACATTAAGGAAATCTGGCGGAAATGATGACCGACTGGACTCGCGCCATGACCTTTTACAAGTCAGCACTCAAACACAACACCAGTTCCGTGGGCGCATTGTTCCGGATTGCGTCACTCTACCGTAACCAGGACCAGCTCGAACGGGCCGTCAAGTACTTTAAGCGGGTCTTGACCATCCAGGACTCCAACGGCGAAGTCTGGAGTGCGCTGGGCCACTGTCACTTGATGATGGAGGATCTGCAGGATGCCTACCATGCCTACCAGCAGGCACTCAAGTATTTGGACAACCCAAAGGTGACACAACACACTTATTCTTCCCCCTCCCCTGTATTTTAAACTCACGTAATTTATACAGGACCCTAAGCTCTGGTACGGAATTGGCATCTTGTACGACCGATACGGCTCACTCGAGCATGCAGAAGAAGCGTTTTCTGCTGTCATCCGGATGGACGCCTCTTTTGAAAAAGCCAACGAAATCTATTTTCGATTGGGGATCATTTACAAGCAACAACAAAACTACGACCTGAGTCTGCAGTGTTTCCGCTACATTCTGCATAATCCGCCGAAACCATTGACCCAAGTCGACATTTGGTACCAGACAGGCCACGTGTATGAGCAGCAGCACGAGTACGAACGCGCCAAGGAAGCCTATGAACGCGTGCTGGCGGAAAAACCGGATGACGCCAAGGTGCTGCAACAATACGGCTGGCTCTTCCACCACACCAATACCTCATTTTCAAGTCAGGCTAATGCCATCGAGTACTTGACCCGCTCGCTCAAGGCTGACAGTAACGATGCTCAGTCCTGGTACCTCTTGGGTCGCTGTTACATTTACGAGCAAAATTATCACAAGGCTTATGAGGCGTATCAGCAGTCGGTTTATCGGGATGCTCGGAATCCGGCGTTTTGGTGCTCCATTGGGGTGTTGTACTACCAAATCAATCAGGTACCGACTACCGTTTATATGATGACGATGATTGCCGTAATCTTTACCGAGGTGTGGTTTTCCGGGATATGAAAAAAATAATACTTATTTTACGTAAACATATAGCACCACGATGCATTAGACGCTTACAACCGCGCTATTCGCCTAAGTCCTACAATGAGTGAGGTCTGGTACAATCTGGGCACACTGTATGAATCAAGCACAAACCAGGTGCAGGATGCACTGGATGCATATAAACGAGCGGCAGATCTTGAGCCCAATAATAAGCGCATACGGCAACGCATCGAGTGTTTGCGGACAGGACAACATACTAGATCAGGAAACAGGTAATATAATCAGTCATACTATTGGGGCTATTGAGAAAGGAATGGAATTGTTGTTTTCTCGACATGTACTAACGTCGTCGTCATCGTCATTATTCTGTTTCTGTACAGTCATCCACCTGATACACCTGTGCCTCAAGATGTCACTAATCCTTACCAGTACCAGAGCAGTCGGGGAGCATCTACTTCACCTCCGCCCCCGGTTGACCAACATCCGCAACAACAACAACAACCGCCACCGTCACTACAACAGCCTTCTTCATTTGCCACACATGGTAATGACAGTGGTGAATCTTCTCTCTCACAGCCACCACCACCACCACCACCTCCTCCGCCTCAACAACAGCAACAAAAACAACAACAACTTCCATTTTCTTCAGTACACTATATAGCAAGTCCTGACCCAACACTTGCTGAAGAAAAACAGCGTGTACAAGCAGGACGGCGACCTAGAGCCGTGCCTGAATTTGAGTCGGTGAGAAAGCAGGAGCGGTATCCGGCAACGACAACAACGACAACAACATCGCGTCCTTTGTCAACGCACCATCCATACCCACCTATGAATGGTATAGATAATAGTACATTACCTGCTCCACAACACATCGGTAGGAGACCATCATCATCCCCAACAAAAACACCTATCTCTGTACCGTTTACTTCAACAACAACAGTGACGAAGAAATCACCACCACCTCCACCACTTGAATCATCAAAACACACACTCCCTGCGCCGACATTGACTTCTACTACTACTACAGCAACCGAGTACACTGTCAAACGTGAAGGTCATCCTACGACTAGTACTACTGGTAGCACTGTTGTTTCAGAATCACCAAAACGGAAACGAATGGCATCAAGAGAAGAAGAAGATGGTAATGACGATGATGACACTATCCACAAACCAAGTCCAAAGAAATCACCCGCAATATTACATCGTCAACAACAACAACAACAACAACAACAACAACAACAACAACAACTGCAGAAAAAGAAAAGTGAACAACAACAGCATGCATCCGCTGCTGCTGTTGTACCTCCTTCCACAACGTCAAATTCCAGTAGCACCAGTACTAGCAATGCTAATGTCCCCACAACCACAACAGCCGCCAACAACAACAGTAGTACCACTACTCCTACCACGAATAATTCTGTTTCTCCCGTTGTCGCCAGAACATCGTCTCCAGCAGCAGCAGCAACAACGACAACACCATCGACTCCTTCCAAATCAAATGCAGTTGCCATGGCTCCTTCTGCTTGAGAAAGAAATTATTCCGTTCATCATCACTTGAACAAACAAATACCCCACCATTCTAACTGTCTTTGTTTTGCACACACTGTTTCTTCATCCACAAAGCCATTTACTACTTTATAGTAAGCATTAGTAAACCTCCAATTGCCCACAAATTTGTATAGCTTTTTCTTTCTTGTTTATATATTTGATCTTTATTTTTTTGTACAATTTCTGTGTTGTTGGTTTATGGCGTGGAAAACACCGGGGGATTGTTTTTTCTTTGATCGTTTTACAGAATGCCTCCACTTTATTTCTAGATTGAATATCGCCAATTTCTTATATAGAGGGTGGTTGTTGGTGCTCGGTATGGTTATGTTGTGTGATTGTCTCCCGGTAGCTGATGATCTTGAGACAACGCTTCATCATTGTTATTCTTCTTTTTGTTTTTCTTTTTCGTTTTCTTTTTGTGAGTCGTTGACGCGGCAGTCTTTGTCAGGGTTGTGTCCGTCGTTGTGGTCGTAGTATTGGATGAATCGTATCCTTGCCCTGACTTTTCATGAATGCTCTGTGCCCGTTTCAATGTATCCGAATCCTCGCTTTCGTCCATGATGCGCAATATGAATTCATGTGCGTCCTTGAACAACTCTCGCCATCGCTCGCCACCGGACACTATTACACACAGAGAGAGAGAAAAATTTAGTACGTGATATTAACAAGTCAGCACCCTCTTTCATGTTTTACCTTGAGAACTGAGGTTGTCAATGGCTCGTACAATGTGTCGTTGTATATCCGGTGTGGCATTTGCACTTTGTCCCATGGCAAGTAATGTTGAAAGAACGTTGTACGGATCACCACGACGTCGTGTGGTTGTACCTTTCTCCTTCTTTTTGCTAGTGTTGTTATTCTGTTCCTCTTGCTCCACAGCAGCATAGCCAAGCATAATAGCGTTATTTTCGCCTGTGACCAGAAGGCGCGATTAGATAAAAACCCCCTAATGGAATTGAGACATTGAATACTAAAACAAGACGCTTACTGTAAAGAGCAAAATTGGCTAGGCAACGCGCTACGTGGCGATGGACTTCTGTATGGCCCGATAATGCGGCAGGAACATTGCATATATACTTGAGCACACGGGGTTGGGATATCAGATTGCTTTGTGATTCATCTATTATCACGCAAAGCATTTTTACAGCCAAGACAGGAATGGTTCGTGAGTCAGGCAATACGTTTAATCACAAGAGGAATACTTACTATTGGTAGCAAAGTTGGCAAGTGCACAGCATGCATGAGAAACAGCTGAAGAATTGGCCGGTCCATACTGATCTTCATCCACGTCGTTTCGTGAAAGATAATAACTGTGATCTTGTTTCCGTTGTTCCATAGCATCAATGTCGTCGTCGTCGCCGCCCTCTTCTACTTGTTGTTGCTGCTGTGTGTGTGGCAAGAGTGCGATAATCGATACTAAAGCACGGGCCACATCACCTCCTAATAAAGCAGGTTTGTATTTGTCTTGAAAAGTGTTTTTTTTAGTCTTCTGGATTACGTATATCGCAAGAACCACATGTACACACACAGGAAAACTGTTACCATTACGCAACGATAGATAAGCAATTGTTTTTGCCATGTATTTCCGCACTTCGCCATTCGTGGACCGTAGCAGATAAGCAAATTTATCCGTCCCTCTTATCAGCTCAATCACACTGGGCTGGTTGGTGACAGGTGCACTGATCGCTGATACTGCCTTGGCAGCCAGACTTTGAATGATGCGAACCCGTTCCTTGAACTGCTCCGCTATTGCAGCCCTTGCTTCTTCTTCTTCTTGTCCGTTTCCATTCATATCACCGCCATTGGGTTGTTGTCCGTTCTGTTGCTTTTTCTTTTCATGGTCCTGTGGTACAGGATCATACGCTGCCAATGTCAACAATGTATAAAGCACCCCATCATCAATAATATTGGATTGACTGAATATACCGGCACGCGACAACTGATAAAAGACGTGGGTACAATTGATCACAATCTCAAGAATGACTTCTTGTGGGGTATCATTATCGTCGTCGTCCTCTTCTTTTACGTTTTCGTCATTATCCCTAACCGTTGCTGCCGCTTTTCCTTTCTTCTTGAGCTTCTTTTTTTTACTAGTGTTGATTTCGTAGTAGACGTAGAATTCAATCAGATGTAATAATGGCGGTAGTGCCCATTTGGTGATAATGACAGGTCGTATCGATTCTTTTTCGGCCAATATCGCAAGAGTCGTCGTCGCTAGATGATGGATTTGTACACTTGTGGAAGACCAACATAACCAGATCAATGCATCAATGCCGCCATACATGACCACGTTTTGTAAATCATGCTCTAGATCGTATCAGTTTTTTTTTCCTTTCCTTCCAAAACATATCGCTCTGTTTTCTTTTATAGTTTACCATTATCTTTTTCAATCAGCTCCAAAAGACCTCGCGTACCGTGGATCTATTTTCTCCAGATGTATCCTTATCAGTAAGATTCTCTTTTTTCCCATAGCGCAGCATGTAAAGTGGTAGTAATAATAACAGCGGACTCACCTGTGTTGATAAGCCATGATCGTCATCAATTGCATAAGTTACCAAGTACGCCACCTCGAAACATCCTTTGCACACCCGTACAGGTTTTGATCCATATCCAAGCTGTGGTAAAGGTACACTTTTCGACGAGCATTCATGACAGAATATATTGCCGCTTTTATAACACACAAAAAAGAATAATACTTGAGTTCTTTCTTCCTTTTCCCTTCAGCAACGCCCCCCTCCTCCTCTCTTAAAGACATACCAATGTCGACAATGATGCTGCGGAATGATAAAACAAAAAGAAAAGAGAGACACAAAAATCAGTTTTTTATATGTTGTTCCTTACTCAAGTAACAAAGACGGTCCATGTTTTCAGAAAGTGTTTTAAAAGTCATGGTTCCTTGAATGGGGGGGGCAAAAGGGCTTGTAAGACAGAAACTTACCCTTCGTCGTAATGGACCAAACGCAGCATTGCAAGAGGTGCAATGGATGACATCAATATCGTTTACCCATACAGGACGAGGTAATAAGAATGGTGGACGGTCATCAAGTTGTTGCATAATTAAAAGAGCAAAGACAGATAGCGGGAGAGGATGTGGTGAACGATTACAATCGACGAGCCCGGAGTAAAAAACTAAAAAACCAGAGGTCAGGTCAGGTGCATATTCATCCTGCGTGTTCTGACTCTTCAAAAGGGCAATTTCCGACCGAGCAGTAAAAGAACCTTTGTCGTTATCATGTGGCTCTTCTTGCACCCCACCCCACCCCCAACCTCATCGATAGCCTGTCTCTTATTGGGGAAAAGACAGTCGTAACCATGCTATTCAAGTTAGCACGTGATGCTAGTCCATTGCAACTTTTAAAGAAGACCTTTGTTTTGCATAGCTCATTGTTCCATACAAACAGCACAGAATAAAAGAAGTCATATCACACCATATAATATAGCGGCAGTATTTAGCAACCAATCGATATGAGACGGCAAATACGACGGCTATACCAAAGACATCAGCGAACATTCTTGCGATATATACTATATGGATATGATACGATGCTGCTTTATACTACTTGACGGAAAATCGCAGCACGATTTGGGCCAAGGATCATTTAGCATGGACTTATCCGTGTTTATGTAATACATTTTATACAGCATTCTGTATGCTTGCCTTACTTTCCACTGGATACATGCTTCGTCGTCACATCGGTTGCAATTTTAAAAATGTGAACAAGATGGGTCCTTTTTTAATGATATCAACGACATCAACGTAAAAAAATAACATCGTATGAGCAAGAAGCCACCTTATGCTGGCACCACACCATTATTTACGGATTATAGACAATAATGGAAGGCTGCTGTAATTATTCGAATGAGAACAATAGGCATCTTCGAATACAGTATGATAACTAAGCTACTGATCTTTGTTGAAGAGGAGGGACTCAATTTAAAGTTGGAGCCTCAGCAGCCCAGAAAACTGGCGTGTTTTTGATGGTCAAAGATGCCACCTCTGAAAAAAAAGTTCAGTACATCAGAAAACTAAAGAGCTGCACAAGTATCTTTAAGCGCATGGAGATTTGCACTAAGTCCAGACTTAGTCTGTTGATTGTATGTAGCATAAAATTTCGAGGTATAGTTCAAGAATCAACAAACTTGTACAATCACCCTCAATCCAAAAGCTATGATAAGATCCAAAGGGAAGAAGGAATAAATCACGACGTTATAGGTCGAGTTGACGAAAAAGGCGATGATCCTCGAAAAAGTGAGGCGAGGAAGAACTACAGTAGGTGCTACGGTCAATGGTTCTAGAGATACTTTCACAATGAGCAAGAGCAGCCGCATGCATTCGGTAATTGTTTTGAAGCTTGCATACAATAATAGCTTTATTACCATTCTATATCTATTGGTGTTGTCTGTTTGGATTTTGGCGAGGCTTGATACGCATACGATCAAAGACCTGGCTGGTTCGTTCGTGAAAAGCCAGCAATGATTTTCTGTATGGACAGTGAGATCCTCAATACAAACGAGGGCGGCCTGCCTCCTTTATGCTCTGTAGACTGAGCTCTTTTCGTTTTGGCTAACGGGTCAGTCATCGACCGCTGTATGATACCAGATCCTCCTCGCAGTATGTATGCAAGCAAGTTCATTCAAAGGCAGTAACCAGTATTTTTTTCTATGATCTTTCCAAATAAACTCGGATGTGGTTATTGATTGCACTTAGATATGGTATATTACTGAAGTATAAATTGTTGGGGTCAACATCGATTTTGAAGACTGTCGTCATAATACAGTAACTTTTTTTGCCGTGCGCTTATACTAAAGTCATCTATCATGAGAACTATCCATAACAAATCTTGCCGCTCGTATGTATGAATTTCTAAAGCGGTTCAATCTGGTGATGAGAGAACAAAACCACGACTGGCGACAGCATTGTTCAAGAGTCTGTCAGCGACAAAAAGACCTACATGGGCGCCCTGTGAAGTCGAACTCAAGGGACTTTTGTAGCCATGCGTCAAAACATAGCGAGCATACATACTTAATATGCTGAGCTTCTTTAATTCCAAGTCGTAGGCAGGGCTAGAAGGTGCTGGAGGACTCATCTGAATTTCTTTGAAGCAGTATAATAGTTGTCCTGCGAGACACAGCTAAGCAGATGTTACACTACCTCCAAACGCAAGTGTGGCAGCTTTGGCACAAAGCTCGAAAGCTCGGAACATTATTAGTAATTTAAGCTTCAAACATTGTTAAGCGAGCACTGTTGTATATGATGGCAAGGGAATTTCCCCCTCTCTTTATTAGAATTTGGGTCTTCAATAAGGACAGGGAAAGCCCAATGTTTCAATACATGAGGGCAGATCATTGGTGTGACCTGCACACAGACAAGGATACAGAAGACCTTTTCTTTCTCGGTAGCTTTTTTTGCCAAAAATCAATTAAGCACCTTGTGAGCAACATATGCTTTCCATGCGCGCTCTGTGGATCAACTTTAAAGACGTTCTAAGCTAGCATTAACCGTATCACATAGCTTAAATTTATTATGACTGGGGTTGATTGTGATTAATGTGTTGACAGCTGTATAATATAGAGGGTATATGCTTCATTTTCAAATTCAACGTGCTCGAATATATAAAGAAAGCTAAATAGTAACGTTTTCTATCGTTGTTTATATACCTAGCCGATACAACTTCTCAGTACGACAATTTAGAATGTGCATTTTTCCAGAAAGTGCTGGTACCTGATACTACAAGAGACTCCGACCACAAAGAAAGGTACCGTGCGCCGCCAAACCCACCACATTTTTTTTTTCTTTTTTACTTTAAAGTCAATCCAAATGTACGGAGACGAACGCGAAGAAACATTACGTGAAGTGTCTGCCCTGGGCAACGCACATGCTGTACACCATTTCACCAAAGCCGGCGTCAATCTTAACTCCCGAAACAAAATGAACGGCTGGTAATTTGTTTTCTTTTTCTCTCGATTAACACCGTGGGTTGTAGGAAGAGAACGATCGTCATTAAACCAAAAAAAAAAAAAAGAAAGAAAGAAAAGGCTGTGTCCGTTATTTCCAAAAAAAGCAACAACAAACAAACACGATTTTAACTTTAATCTTGTGGGGAAGAAAAGGACCGCATTGCACTGGGCTGCTCATAGAGGCCATGAAAAGGTAGTACGTCTATTGCTTGCTAACGGAGCCGATCCCAATGTCAAGACGAACAAGGGCCAAACTGCGTTTCATTTGACAAAGGATCCAGCTATCCAAAATCTATTGGATGGTGATACGAGTGCAAAACAAGAACAAGAAGGGTCTGCAGCAGCAGCTGCTGCTGCTGTTGGACCGGAACCTGCATTGCCTATTGTCCCCACGTACATGAAGGAACCCGATCTGGAAAAGTCATGGTTACATCCAGACGAGTTCTCGGAAGCTAAAATCGAAAATGTCGTTCGAAGACATATGGCATCACAACAGCAAGATGAACCCTCTACTACTACTACTACTACTACTACTACTGCTGCTGCTACTACTACTGCGTCTACCCCGCAAGTGCCTAATGACAGCAAAGACGAAGAAAAGGAAATTCTGGTATACCTCGGATCAAAGATGGATGAAAACATAGTAGGCTCAGTGTTCCTGAAGAACGAATCCATCGAATCTTCTGTCAAGGCTATTCAAGAGGTAACAAAAAAGAATCGGGTCAACAAAAGCTGATCAACTAATATGTTTTCTCTTTTAAAAAAAAACAGGAATTGGATGGGTTACCTGAAAACTTCAGCTTGGCACGCAACAATGGCAAGGTGACGATTCCCATTAACACAAAGCAGATGGATAAGCGGTTACTCGATATATTCCGTGGCGATCAAGATGTTTTGGTTGTCGTGCCAAAATAAAATTCTATTTTTATATCTCCCCGCGCATCACCTCTTCTTTTTCTTTTTCCCTCCCTTTACACGACAACGCATAGCTTACATACGTTCAACACCACTTGCTTTTATATACATATATAATAAACACGTTCTTTCTCAATGCAGGAACCTGAGCGATTCATTCCACTGCTTTCAACAACGGGACAAATACCGATCGATGGTGCCCGAATTATCAATGTCACCCATCAAATCCCTTTCGAAATCACCCAAACCGGGACGACATGGTCATTGGCGCCACGGAGGGGACACGGTGCAATGTATGCCGGGATTGAATCCTTACGAAACGAATGGGAAACTGTACACATTGGCTGGACAGGACAGATTTACAAACAAGTGACAGCAGAGGAAGATATGACGACGACAACAACAACAACAACAACTACTACGACGTCGACGACAACGACCAAGACGAACCTTGTTCGAACTTTACCCGACGACGATAAAACGGTTTTAACGGAACAACTGAGACAACAACACGCTTGTATCCCTTTGTTTTTAGACAGTGGAAGTGTCGCAGGGCATTATGACGGTTACTGTAAAACAAGTAATAACTCTGTTTCACCTGGTTTTTTTTTTCTTTCTTTTCGGGAGAGAGTAATAATGACTCAACGTATCTTCTCTTTGTCTATTTAGTGTTGTGGCCATTGTTCCATTATCTCTTATGGAACGATGCTACGGATGGTCGTCTCGAACGCACGCAGTGGGAGGGCTATGCAGCTGTCAACCAAAAGTACGCCGATCTTGTTGTACAACATTATCGGGACGGCGATATCAGTAAGAAGAAGAAGAGGAACCAAAAGAAGGATCAGCTCTTTTTTTAATATTTCTAACAATCCAGTTGGTTGGCACATTATTTTGAAATCTAGTCTGGGTCCATGACTACCATTTGCTGCTAGTTCCAGCCCTCGTTCGCGAAAAGCTGCCAAAAGCACGGATAGGTCTTTTTGTCCATGCACCATTCCCTAGCTCTGAAATCTTTCGGTGCTTGCCAAGTAAGAGCGTTACATGTGCTTATATATATGCATACACAAGAAAGAAAAGGGCTAAATGCATGAATTTTGTTGTTGATAGAAAGACAAGAAATCCTAAAAGGTATGCTGGGTGCCAACCTGGTTGGATTTCAGGCAAGTTCCCACTCAAAATGAAAGATAAGGATAAAGAAGAAGGAAGCTTATCAATTTGGATTGATAATAGACATACTCGTATTCGCGTCACTTTATTTCGACTTGCACTCGTGTGTTTGGTTTTGAATCGACACCCGAAGGCATTGACGGAGGTGGTCATTTCTGTCACGTCGGCACGTTTCCCATTGGTATTGACGTCGATCGAGTCGATCAAATGCGAAGCGACCCGTCTGTCCTAGCCAAGGTCAAGGCTATCGCTAGCATGTACACTGGGAAAAAGATCATCGTCGGACGTGACAAGCTGGACCTTGTCAAAGGTGTTATTCAAAAACTAGCAGCGTTTGAAAAGTTCCTGATGGATTATCCCGAATGGCGCGATAAGGTATGAAAATAAAATAGACGTTTGCTTGGGGTGCTCATCCCCTTCTAATCCGTAACCATTTGAATGTTATTAAATCATATGGTTTAGGTCGTGCTTATCCAAGTGACAGACGGCAACACATCCGAAACAGCCAAACTGGAAAACAAAGTATCGGATATCGTGGCTCACATCAACGGCACCTACGGCTCGCTAGAATTCACTCCGGTCCACCACTATCATCACCATGTTCAAACAGATGAATTGTACGCCTTACTATCCATCGCTGATGCTGCGCTGATCACTGCTGTGCGCGATGGCATGAATACGACCAGCTTAGAGTATATCATGTGTCAGCAGGGAAAGCACGGACCATTGATTTTGTCCGAATTTACAGGCACAGCAGGGTCCATGAGCTCCGCCCTGATGGTGAACCCATGGGATTATGCGGGTTTGGCAAAGGCGATCAATGATGCTCTATTAATGTCCGCTGAAGAGAAAGTTTCTCGTCACTTGGTAAGTATCATGAATGGAAAGCAGGACCAAAAAAAGCAGATTCTAATGTTCAACTACTACAGCAACTGCTTGACCATGTAAAATCGCACACTGCGTCCTTTTGGGCACATTCATTCATCAAAGTTCTTGTCCAATCGATCGCAATTACGGAACAATCGAGCTATACCCCACTCTTGCGGCCAGACTATGCAGCAACTAAATATCGACAATCCAAGCGACGATTATTATGCTTTGACTATGATGTATGTTTTGTTTTACAACACGACAAAGGAAAGAAACAGAGAGAGGTGCCGTGATTTAACGGACTCATTCGCTGTCTCGAAAAAAATATAGGGCACACTGGCACCCATCTGTAAAATACCATCACAAGCAGTACCACCACCAGACATGCTGGAAGCTTTAGAAAAACTCTGCGCCGATCCCCAAAACGACGTGTGGGTGATATCAGGACGAGACGAAGCAGCATTAGACAGATGGCTGGGCCACATTGCGGGCATTGGTCTGAGCGCAGAGCACGGTTGTTTCATGAAATATCCACACAGTAAAAAATGGATCAATCTGACAGAACACCTCGACATGGGATGGAAGCACGATGTGATAGATATCTTTACCTACTACACAGAACGAACGTCTGGTTCTTTCATTGAACACAAACGATGCTCCATCACTTGGCACTATCGATTGGCCGATCCCGATTATGGCGCGTTCCAGGCTAAAGAATGTCAAAACCATCTTGAAAATGCGATTCTTTCGAAATTGCCAGTGGAAGTGTTGGTGGGCAAAAAGAACCTCGAAGTCCGACCGACATTGATCAACAAGGGAGAAATCGTGAATCGGTTACTGAGTAGCAGTAGTAGTAGTGGTGGTGGTGGTGGTGGTAGCGCTACTGATACTGTGACCTCTGCAAATCATGATGGTGACCAGTCGTACGACTTTGTCATGTGCTGTGGCGATGATAAAACGGACGAAGACATGTTCAAACAGCTCAGAAAGACGACCCTTTTGTCGGATGAGCAGATCTTTTCAGTGATGGTGAGCGCAGCCGAAGACAAAAAGACACGGGCCCTTTGGCGAGTGCAAAATGTACAAGAGATCATCAATACCATGGCATGTATGGCTGCTTCTACAACCCATGCTACCGCTAGTACGAATACCGATGCTCAAGGATGAAAGCATTGGTTGTTCTTCTTCTTATTAGAAACTAAATAGTATTAAAGTACTTGCACACTGTAGATTTCCCCAACATTTTGTATATTTCTTGCTTAAATTTATACTCTATTTTTACTGTTTTCTACTATTGTGATGCGGATGGATGTGGATAGATGAACAACGACAGACACCAACTCAAAACAAAGGAAAATGTTCCCGAAAACGTCGTATAATACCCGGAGAAATTTTATTCTTCTTGCATTGCAATTGCAACCGCGGTGTCGAATGCAAAGCAAAGTAAAAGAATGTCTTGGTTCTTGCTATTTTAACGTCCTTTTGCATGATAAGCAAACATGGATCTGCGATTTGAGCAAAATGCAACGGCTAGCGGATGCCTCTTTTTTTTTTTGTTTTCTGCGGTTCGATGAAACCGCCGCCACCTTAACTACATATGCTCTCTATCACTATTTGAAAATCAAAGAACGTGTTAACACCATAGCAGCAGCAACTGCACAAAGACTTTTTACTAAACAAGAACAGGCTCATACAGCTAGTAAAGAAAAAAGAGTGGCGCCTATACATCTCAAACGATCTGAAAGAAAAAGTCCCTTGAACATATACAATTTTTAATTCATTACATCTCCCACCAACACATAACCCTACCCTCTCCCTCCTCTCTTTTCATTTTCATAATGTCTTCGGAAAATAAGGCACGCGACTCCCCAACACATCCTCCACCGCCTTCTTCTTCACCATTATCATCACCATCATCACATCGCCCACAACAACGACAGCAACAGCAGCAGTCTGGCATTACTTCCAGCAGCAATCCAAAAGCCACGCGAAAAACGTCCAACCTACGCGTGGATACCTCTAGACCGGACAATGACGCGCATTCACACCAACAACAACAACAACCTCGACAGCCTTCTGTAGCTGGCACCGCTGCAGCAGCACAACAACGCATGTCGTCCACTCGGCAGACCCATCGTAACAACAACAACAGCAGCACCATGAACCAGAGCAGCAGTAGCAGCAACAACAACAACAATAATAATCACCCTGAGCCGACATCAACGACTGGATCACCACTGCCACGACCACCAAGATACCTCACGATGCCAACCAATCTTGCAACAGCCACGAACGACGATGGATTCGATGACGACTACAGTATCATCAAAGAAAAAGCGCACCAAAAGCTACGACGACGACTACTCCCATCACAAAAACCCGACTGCTGGGTGCTGACGAGCTGGATCCTAACCTGGTGGATCCCTACACCTTTCATGCGATTGATCGGCATCAAGGATAAGCAAATACAGCAAGCGTGGCGCGAAAAAGTATCTTTGGTGATCATCATTATGATTTTGTGTGTATCCGTTGGTTTTCTGACGTTCGGGTTCAATGCAACCGTCTGTGGCCGACAGCCAACACGCATCCGACCCACCGGTATCAATGAAGATCAAATCATTATTTCTGGTCGCGTATTTGACCTGAAATCGTTCAAACATGCAACGCCTTATCCCGGCATTCCTGCCAGTGGCGATCTCTTGGAAATGGGCTATGGCGGTCGTGATTTGTCATTTATGTTTCAGACTGTCAATTATAATTGCAAAGGCATTTTCAGACCCATTGTAGCGGACGATCCGCGGGGCAATGTAATCAACTATTTCCCGTGCGTGCCCATTGACAGAAACGATCCTTTAAAGGTCAATGCCACCGATAACCTGAAAAGGGATGGCTGTCACGTGAGCCCTAAATCAAGAAAGGCTTTGCGCAAGCTGGATGTTGTAGGAGACGTTTATTATAATTGGACAGATATTCAGCAGCCAGGAACTAGTCTTGTTGCATTCAATGGGTACCGTTATATTGTTTTCGACACTAAGAAAAAGGGGGATCGCTAAAACATATAAATGCCATGTAGGAATGTTCTGGATTTATCTCGACTTCGGTATCTTACACCCAATGTTCCCATGCCATATCAAATCGCACAATTCGTTGGACCAGGCAGCGCTTTTATCGGCCGCGACGCAACGTACTGGCTAAGCACTACAGCGGACCGGTTAATGATTGGCAAATGCTTGACGGATGTGCTCAAAGTAGGTGTCCTCGACACCCGATCCACAGGCTGCATTATTTCCGATATCGTGCTCTGGGTCTCGCTGGCTGTCATTCTCGGTGTGGTCCTGGTACGGTTTGTCCTGGCGCTGATCTTCGGCTGGTGCATATCATGGAAATTGGGCAGCATTCGTGAAGAAACAGCCGAAGAACGACGGATACGACAAGACGCTGTGTTACAGTGGGAAATGAACAATGTCGAACAAATGCATTATCCAAGACGACGCAGTATATCTTCGATTGAAGAATCCTTACATAGTACAACAACACCGAGTGCAGCCACGTCGATTCATAATGCCAGTTTCAGCGATATCTACAATAACAACAGTAGTGTTGGTAGCGTATCAAGCGCTCCACATCCAAGAAGCGGCGGTGGTGGCGGTGGCAATTATAACCAACAACAACACATGAATAACAGTGGACGGGCAATGCGCAGATTCTTCCCGACCACGTCAAGATTCACTCAACCCAATTCACCCAGTTATGGGTCTCGCCACAGTCCTTATGGGAGTCGAGGTGGCCTGTTTGGTGCGAGCAATAGTGCCGATACCATGTTGACAATGACACCGAGACAAAGACGATGCACGACTGCACCTTCATCACCAGCTAACTATAACAACATGAATGATTCAACGAGTAGTCATCAGAATAGCAACAACAACAATAATAACGCATACGTGCTAGACTCTCAATTTTTCAGGGAACTGCATTCATTGGGCCGACTGCAGCGCGACGCAGCAGCCGATGCCTATGCGCAAAAGGAACACCGATTCAATTTCGATTTGCTGTATACATTCATGGTGGTGACCTGCTACTCTGAAGGCGAAGAAGGCTTACGTACGACACTGGATTCTCTGGCCAACACCGAGTACCCGGCATCCCACAAAGTGTTACTGGTGATCTGCGATGGTATCATTACAGGTTCTGGCAACACAAAATCAACGCCAGATATCGCACTCGACATGATGAAAGACGATCTGTTACCGCGCGATCAGGTCAAGCCAGTTTCCTATGTCGCTATCGCTGACGGCATGAGACGACACAACATGGCAAAAGTGTATGCTGGTTATTACAAGTATAACGACGATCCTTCCAAGGCCCCAGAACCCAAGCCATTGGATCAGCAGCAACGTGTGCCCATGATCATTATTGCCAAATGTGGCACGCCAGCTGAACGCAAGTCTAAAAAGCCAGGCAATCGTGGTAAACGTGACAGTCAAGTCATCTTGATGAACACGATGCAAAAGATATTTTATCACGACCGCATGTGTGAACTCGAGTTTCAGTTTTGTAAAGCCATCGCCAAGCTGGTGGACAGACATCCTGCTCGGTTTCAATGCTGTCTCATGGTAAGTTTGAAATACCTCTTATCATTGTCATTGACTTACATAAATCGGATGATAGGTGGATGCAGATACAAAGGTTTATCCGGACTCTTTGGCACGTATGGTAGCTACCATGTCCCGCGATTCAAGAATCATGGGCTTGTGTGGTGAGACAAAAATTGCCAACAAGAGCGATAGTTGGGTCACGGCGATCCAAGTGTTTGAATACTACATTTCGCATCACATGAGCAAGGCTTTCGAATCAATCTTTGGTGGCGTTACGTGTCTTCCTGGATGTTTCTGTATGTACCGTATCATTGCACCGAAAGGCGAACAATACGTGCCAATCTTTTGCTCCACCGATATCGTCGAAAGCTATTGCGAAAATGTCGTAGATACCTTGCATAAAAAGAATCTATTGTTGCTTGGTGAAGATCGGTATCTTACCACATTGATGTTGCGCACGTTCCCTAAACGCAAAATGGTCTTTGTTCCCCAGGCAGTAAGCATTAAATAGAAAATGACAAGAGTTATCTTTGAAAAAGCTCCATCGTTAATAACGTTGGCTCAAAAATATTTGCGAAATCACTCTAGGTCTGCAAAACGGTTGTGCCAGATACGTTCCCCGTGTTGTTGTCTCAACGACGTCGATGGATCAACTCAACTGTTCACAACCTCCTTGAGCTCGTTCTAATCCGCGACCTGTGTGGCACCTTTTGTTTCTCCATGCAATTCGTTGTATTTATGGAACTCGTCGGCACCGTTGTCTTGCCAGCAGCCATTTCTTTCACGCTCTATCTGGTCGTCATTTCCTTCTTTGTCCGTCCTGTACCGATCATCCCGCTCTTACTTTTAGCCGCCATCCTCGGTCTTCCTGCTGTACTGATTGCTTTGACGACGCGCAAAATGGTCTATGTTGGATGGATGATGGTTTATTTGTGCTCTTTGCCCATCTGGAACTTTCTGTTGCCGGCCTATGCTTATTGGAATTTTGACGATTTCTCTTGGGGCGAAACAAGACAAGTACAAGGCATCACAGGTCAGCACGAAGATCACAGTAGACGACAAGGCAAGTTCGATGGCAAGGATATTGTGATGCGCAAGTTTGAAGAATGGGCAAGACAGGATAGGCATGCAACGTCGGAGGAGGCGAGTCAACATGTTCGCAATTATCCAGCCATTTATTATGGCCATTAAAAGTTTACTACACACTACTGTCTTTTTTTTTCTATCTCTTTTTTGGTTCTCTTTTTTTCCCATATATCACGTTATATAATATAACATAATATATATTTTGTATAATCCTATTAAGAATACGATATGTCTTGTTCTTTTTTTTTCGTTTATTATGTCCCTTTTCCCTTTCCTTTTTATTTGTTTCTCTAACCAATGGTGTAATCATCTGCAGCAAGAAGAACGTCTTTGGTGAATTGTGCTGGGCTGTTGGTTTCCATATTTTGTACATCCAATACCTATCATTGTTGGAGTAAAAAGAAAAAGACACCTTAGTCACCATGCATCATATCATTTTTCTCTCTGTTTGAAGTTTCAAAAACTTACATCCACATCGCAGATCAATTTGTCGCTGACAAAAGATACCATGACAGGGAAGAAACCATTGGCGTCTTCGCCTGGAATATTGCATTCAAGAGAACCGGCCTTATTTGAGCTATTAATCACTGGCAATTGCCAGTCCAACGATCGACGTTGGCGGTCGACAAAGTATGAGCCGTCGGCGCTGTGTACAGTGACTGATGGCTCAGCACTAAAAATTGCAGAATCATAGTCAGTGTACTATTTTGCCAACTTGCAACCAGAAAAAGAGAAGAAAAGAAAAGCTTACGGTAATGGGATAGAGACAACGACATCACGTAGTTCTAATTGATCCGCTTCCAGCTCATACTCGATATTGACGTCGCAAGTACCATCGCCAGCGGGTGATGGCCAGCAGTTTACTAAATTTAAGAGCGATTCAGGTTAGGTCTCTTACCGATCTCGAAAAATTTACAAATAACGAGATATACCTACTTGTAAGTGGAACGGCTGTTTCATCCCGTGTAGCAAACTTCCATCTAACAACCTCCAAGTTTTGGTTCACTGGGAAAGCTCGAGCGACATCTCGCATCTGTACAGCCTTTTCATTTTTGAATACAGCCTTGTCTACGTTTGGATGGGTCTAGTGTAGAGGATCCAACCGGTGGAGATAAGAATTGAGGAAGGGGAAGGGGGGTGTTAGCGAATGATTCTTTAGAAAAGGGCAGAAAGCATGTAGTAGAATTTACCTTAAAGTTGATGGCTGGATCATCTGCTGCTTGCAGAGTGAGACGGACTTTGGCAGTGGAAGCATCGCCAACTCTTAATGTGAGGATACCGCGAACTTCCATTTGTTCCAAACCACCGTCTCGATTGGCAGCAAGTGACACACGCTCTTCGATCGACACATGGATACTATATGAACAAACAGCCCATGAATACTTTGTTAAGAAATACGTTGTTCTCTAGAACAGCCCATTTCCCCCCTCTCCTCAGTTCGACAGCCAAACGTTTTCTTTTTGGTTCAAACGCATTACCCTTCGGGGTTCTTGGTCATGCCACCACTCGCAGAAGACCGAGACGACTTGAGCAAAGGCTCCTCCACTTCGGTCTTGATGGCTTCAAACAGATCGGTCGATTTGGGTTTACGGCCCAACTGCATACCACGAGCCTTGGCCGAAGGAGCAGGTGGAGTAGACGAACGACTGACAAAGGGCGAGTCCACCGAAGTTTGTACCGTAGGCTCCAACGCTGGCGAGAAGCGACCGCCCATGTAGTTGCTCTGGGAGCTAAAGTTGCCCTGCATGAATCCTTGTCCACGCTTTTGTGCTTCCTTTTTCTGCATATCAAACTGCTTTGCCCGTCTCTTGAGTTCCTCTTTGGCTTCTTGCTCTTTGTTCTACAATATTACATTGGGGTTATTTTCGTTCCATCATTACTCTCTTTCTCTCTCTCTGGATGTGTATCGGTCGTTCACTCCAGAATTCAAACGTTCGCATCAGTTGTTACCTTGGCAATGATTTCCTGTATTCTTTCCTCGTGACTTTCCATCTCGATGATGCTCTTGACTTGCGACAAGTTGACGTTTTCTCTATAACCCTCGGAAATAATTTCATCAAAAGCGCACAACAACTCAAATGCGTTTCGAAGGATGTCTTGTTCATCACACGAGCGACAGATATCAGTAACCACTCGGGCAAAAAGATGCAATGATTCGATATCTTGCAAAATGTTTGACTGTTTTTAGATATTCCTTGGGGTGAGTATAATTCCTTTCTATCGAATATTAACCGTCTTCCAGTCTCTTTTTTTTTATATATATATAAAAAAACGTGCTTCTCGCTCTCTACTGTTTGATTTTTGGGAGGTGCAAATGGGAATGGTACCTGACGGTTGGTAATGAGAACCATGAACAGTTCCTCCAGGGGTTGATACACGTAACGGACGTGCTCAGTTTCTACTGTAGTGTGTTGTTGTCCCGTACTCGTCAACTTTGGAAATGATGCTAAAAGGCCTTCGATGCGCGAACGTTGCATTTCGCGAAATTGGCGAGAGATGACGGCTATTTTTTAATTATATATAACGGTTCATGTCAGTATATATTATATAAAGATCGTTTGTCTATAGCTCAGTTTATTCTTCTTTTTATTACCTTTGCCGCTCTTGGTTACAATTGATGCTGCTAACACAACCTATAAATTATAAGGAGTTATTGCCATTAGGTTTGTAAATTAGGGAACGTTTCTTTCAAACGTTGTCAGCCCCTTCCTCTTTACCATTGAAGCGCGATGAAGTTGAAAGGTGCAACGTGGTGGGTTTTGGCCTTATTGCTCCACCTAAAACGAGCGCGCTTGAATTAACTCCGCTTGATCCCCATTCGGGATGGTCGGTATCACCACCACCCGCGAAGAACAGATCTTCGTTTGCATGGTGTATTGGGACAGAGGGCTGATCTATTCTTTTTGCTAGTGGCCCGTATACATACTAGTGACCATTACATAGGTGTTAAGAGTTGCACATTTTGCATGAGTGATTTCAATATTTTGTCATCGATGTTGTAGCAAGTGATATAATAAGAGTAATACACGCGAAGCATTTTTAACGGGATTTCTTGATTAACAATCCTTTGCTATGCATTAAATCGTCATTCGCTGATTGTCTAATGTATTAAAGTTTCTTTATTGTATATGCTTTGCTATGTACTTGGATGATAATTGAAGCAAGTATAGTATGTAGCAATATTCTATAATATTTTCTCGACTGTGAAAGCGGTCCTACATATTTTCTTCGCCCTCTATGATAAATGTATGTGCTGCGTTTGCAACAACAATCCCGTTTGCATTATGAATTATAGCTATTAGTAAGTATACCAGTCGATAAGTCATGTAAATTCTTTCTTGAGGTCATAATACTTATACATTGATGTAGATGAAGGCGTGCTGTGGTTCTGTATGTATGAATGTCAAGTTGTTGCATCATGCAAATAAAAGGGGTACAATATTTGGATTACCGAAAGCAATAATCTTTTGTTCCACCTCTTTTCCTCTAATGAAATCAAACAAATGAATCTCAACATTGTATATACAAATGAAATCATCTGACCAAAATCACTGGCCAAAAGTTATATAACTTTATTATTACTACATTGGTTAAATCTTGGAGTGATTGACAGGAAGCAAGGGTATCACCACCTTGCCCTTGTTATTACCCGAATGCAGATACTCGACGCCATCCACAACATGCTCAATACCATCCAAACCAGCAGAATCAATTTCAACCTTCAATTTGCCTTCCTGGAACAATTTGACTAGTTTCTGCATATGCGAGGGATATAGATGGAGATAGTCGGGAACGAAAAAGCCGGCTACTGTACGCGACTTGCCCAACAGCTTGAGCGTATCTACCTTGTCACCCTGCATACCGGATGCGCCCGAGTAGGTGGAAACCATGCCGATCACAATTAATCGGCCCTTGACAGCCAAACTTAAAAAGACGATACATACATATGTATATATTTGTTAATTCTTTCCATAATATCAATCCTTTACTACCGCTCTTATCATACAACGTCATCATCATCATCATCATCATCACCCATATCTTCTTCTTTCTATACCTGTTCAAGCAAGTAGTAAAGAACGATCCACCGACACTTTCAAAGACGATATCCACGCCCTTGGGGTATTCTTTCTTCAGGACCGTCTTGAAATCTTCCTTTTTGTAATTGATCACTCGATCACAACCTAAAGACTATAGTAACAAACATAAAAGCATCGATTCTGTGAGATAAATGAGAGCGAACTAGCGGAGGCCCCCCTTTAAGCTCTTTCCTCTACTTGTCTGTCACTCCAATTGGAGCTTCATCTTTAAAAAGCGATTGCTATTCCCATTAATTACCTTGAGCATAACAACCTTATCATCACTCGAGCAAGTGCCAATGACATGGTTACCAGCCAATTTGGCAAGTTGAACGGCAATTTGACCAGCACCGCCAGCAGCAGCCGTGACCAATACAGTTTCGCCAGTCGTCATACGACCCATTTCTTCAAGTGCAATGGAAGACGTGAGACCGGATGAGCGCAAAGCCATATATTCGATTTTGTTACCCGGGACTGGGATCACACTTGTGTAGGGGACAGACATATATTCTGCATAAGCACCATATTGACTATTAATAAATCACACGAAGAGAGCATTATTGGTGAGACGACAGAAACAAGCGTAGCTTTTCGAACTTGATTGAGTACTCACGAAACAAGCACATGACTACCGACAGCTTCTTTGGGCACCAAAGAGCCAGCTTGTATAATTTGTCCCATGGACTCAAACCCAACGTCAAATGGACTATGTACATTTTATCCGCTATTAATCTTTAAAGAATGTTGACAAAACTAAAAGGGGACTACTTACGGCTTGATACCAGGCACATATTTAGCATTAGTATAATTCACGTCAGAAGCGTTAATACCCAGATACAAGTTCTTGACAATAACTTGGTTTGGTTTTAGGTCGTCCGTTAAGCTATTGTACGGCACAGTGACGACTTGGGTTACTTTACGGTAGTTGTTGCCAATCTCAACGGCTTGAATTTTGCGGAAAGTTGACGGTGGTGCACTATAGTTTTAGGGAGAGAGAGAGAGAGAGGCGGGTTGGTATTGTATTATTCGTTCTTAATGGGGGGTTTATGATTATGTGGTGTAAGTTACAGGGGCAAGAACGCTTTAGTATCGTTATATACCTCATGAGTTGAAAATGAGGAAAGAAGATGGACAGAGGAATGTATGTGTGTGTATAAAAGCGTATTGTCGCTGATGGTTTCCAAGAGAGATCATTATATATGAAGGTGTCTTTGTTAGTAGGAATTTCCCGCGACGTTTTTGAGCTTATCAAATAGTATAATCACTGGCATAACAAATAAAATTTAAAAGCTTCTCACGGTGTTTTACACACACACACACAGAGAGAGTCGACGATCTTTGTACTCTACTTATTAATATATGTTTAATGAGTGGTTGAAGATATCAACGGCAAGGGCATTGTCGGTTGGGCAACAATGTTCAACTGTCATCTTTTTTCTCAAGTAGTTACATTAGGTGTGTACATATAGGTTTTCGTATTGATTTGCTACGTCAGTGAGATTATTTTTGCTTTTGCAATGAGTATTGCTACGTCGTTATAATGGATTTGCTATGCTATTATGCTACATTTACATTGCCACGATGTTGTTGCTACACCGTTGTTATGCAGGCCCCACATATTCTATGTTGTTCCTCCAAACTCAAAATGCTTCTTGGTATATAGCATAAAGATTCAAGAAGCGCATTGACTATTTTGTCATTTACACACACATACACACACATACGTACAATCCAGCTTGATATATAGATTTTCCATTTATACGTAGATCAAATATAAGTAATTCATAATGGATCGACGCGGTGACCAACGAAAAGTAAAGTGGAGTGAGTGTCCGGGCATCTCAAAGATGCTATAGCCCCCCCTCGGGGCCGCGCCGGAACTGGAACGGCCGGACTTTTTTTTTCGAAACCCAGAGCTTGCGCGCGATGATTGACTACGTGATGGATATGGATACCAGAGCCCTTTCCTCCTTAATTTATAGTAGTAAGTACCATTCAACTTTGGGTGGTGTTAGGCATTGGCTAAAGGGGGTGGATGCATCCAGACGGATGGATGGCATGGATCGATAGATAGATGGATTGCGAAAGAAACGAAAAATGGATGATGGGCCTAGGAACGATTCCATGAGGAGGAGGCGTTATCAGCTGAGTAACCCGCCACCATTAACAAAATGCTATGCACGGGGAGAAAAGCAAATGAACAACAACAACAACGACGACTTCGATTTCTTATTTATATTCAATTTTTTCTTTTTCTTGCAATTGCGATTTGTAGAAAATGGCTGACTCTGCACCGGCCGATAGTAAGTAGATTTTTCACGAAAGGACCTCCTAATTTTATTCCGAATTGAACATTGTATTGATTGATTATTTTTATTGATTTGATTAATTAGGACGTGGTGGTTTCGGACGTGGTCGTGGCCGTGGTGGCCGTGGCCGTGGCCGTGGACGCCGTGGCGACGAAAAGACTGAATGGTAAAGAAAAAAAAAACAAAAATCGTCTGGCTTACAATCTCCAAAGAGTGTATGCCCCCCCCTCCCAATCCAACCCCCTTTCATCAATTAAAACAGAAAAAGCTCACCAAACAAAATTCATAAAAATTAAAGGGTTCCTGTTACCAAGCTTGGCCGTCTCGTAAAGGCTGGCAAGATCAAGAACTTGGAAGAGATCTACACCTTCTCGCTTCCCGTCAAGGAGTACCAAATTGTGGACTATTTCTTGCCCTCGTTGAAGGATGAAGTCATGAAGATTATGCCTGTCCAGAAGCAGACGCGTGCCGGTCAGCGCACTCGTTTCAAGGCCTTTGTTGTCATTGGTGACTCGGACGGCCACGTCGGTTTGGGTGTCAAGTGCTCCAAGGAAGTCGCCACCGCTATCCGTGGTGCTATCATCTTGGCTAAGCTTTCGGTCATCCCTGTCCGCCGTGGTTACTGGGGTACCGCTCTTGGTGATCCCCACACTGTGCCTTGCAAGGTTACTGGCAAGTGTGGTTCGGCCATGTGCCGGTAAGTTTGGGAGGCGCTGTAACTAGTAGTAATGATGCGTTTGTATAAAATCTGAACAATGTGTTTGTGCTGTAGTTTGATCCCTGCTCCCAAGGGTACTGGCTTGGTCGCTGCTCCTACTCCCAAGAAGGTCTTGCAGCTCGCTGGTATCACTGACTGCTACACTACCTCGCGTGGTTCCACCCGCACTTTGGGTAACTTTGTCAAGGCTACCTTTGCTGCTATTGGCAACACCTACGGTTTCTTGACTCCCGGTAAGGATTCATTTTTTTTTTAATTTAGAAAAAGCGTGTGTTTCTGGATGAGAATGGGAAAAAGGGGACTGACAAGAAATCTATAGATCTGTGGGAAGAGACTGAGTTCACCAAGGCTCCCTTCCAAGAGCACACTGACTTCCTTGCTCTCAAGCAGCGAAAGTAAAAGGACCAGGACTTTTTTGTTCTCTCTCTTTTTCAAATATAAAATGAAAAAAAAGATAATAAAAAAAATATGCCTTTTTTTTACTTTCTTTGTGTGTCAACTGTCAACCAGAAAAACAAAGAGATATCGTGGTGGGGGGTTTTTTTTATGGAGGAAATGATTACTACTACTGGCTATATCAGCCAAGCATACATCGATCCCAAGAGTTATAGCATCCGTGGCCACAGTGGCATGTTGTCTTGCGCACATCGGCACAATGACATACACGACCACAATCACATCCTACTCCGGACCCTCGACCTATACATATCTCCATTTCTTCAGTATTTTGTGTCTTTCTCTTGACTTCCAACACATGCCTAGCACTTACAGACACAGTATTCAGAATGATGCGTAAAGCCGCCAGAGTTCTGTTCAGACTGATGCTGACTACGGTCTTTAGTAGTAGTAGCAGCAGCAGCAGCAGCAGCAGTGGGACGAGGTAGCACTTGTTGCTGTTGTTCGTCATGTTGCTCCTGCTGTTGCTTGAGTTCGTCGTGTAATATTCGTGCAGACAAGACTGTGTAGTTGGACATGGTGTATAGAAGATGATATGAACAAGTGAAAGAGGAGAAAACCAAGTTGGACGCTTATTTCTGTTGTTTGTGTGAGAGTTTTTTCTATTCATGCAGTCTTCTCTCACTATCAATGTCATTTGACAGGTTGAGGTTTTTTAAATGTGAAACTGTCGCGTTCTTCTCTTTTTGGGGCACAAGTGAATTGATTGGTTCGAAACAAAAACGCATTATTGCTGCTCATGAGAAACTACTTGGAACACGCCCAGTGAACATGGAAGCTTTCGTTGAAAGGTATCTGGGAGATGGAGGGGGTTGGGGGGTTGGGAAGGGGAAATGCCTATATCGAATAAAGAAAAAAGGAGGGGGCGGCTTCAAGGCAACGGTGGGTGAACACTCTACTTGGTGTAGTGTGTGTGTGTGTGAGTCAAGCACGATGCTATTATTTCGACTCTCCGTCAATCTGTTACTGGCTTCTTTTTACCTACCCACTGGGTGTGTGCATTTTCTGATTTAAATACGTTTTTCCGAAAAAGTACCGGGAAAGAAAAAGACCAGTGTGTGTGTGTGTGTGTATTACAACAACAACGACAGAAAATGCGCAGCCTCAAGGAACACAAGAGCCAAGCAAGGCGGAGCTTCTCGTCATTCTTTACTACTACTACTACTACTACTACTACATCTACCACTAGCAGCACATTGGCATCCTCCTCCTCATCACCACGAAGAAGCATGGCCTCATCAAAACGATCATCGTTGGGATTACACATGATGAGTACGCGCAAGCGGCTCGAGCTGGAAGAAATGTTTGCAGCGTTTGACAAAGACAAGGACGGCAAAGTATCACCGGCCGAACTACAAGAAATGCTAAAGTCAGCAGGCGTTATTTCTGAAGCATCAGACACGGCAACAACAACAACAACGGCGGTTGTCTCCATGGTACAAAATAACGTTTTTCTATATACAACCAACGAAAAAAGAAAAATGGTTTAATTTCTTTTTTTCCCCCCGGGGGAAACTAAAAAACTTTGAAGCTGCAAAAAGTGCACACAGACACCGATGGCAATTTGACGTTTGAAGAGTTCGCACGACTGATGCGACCGACACTGTCCAACCCGGTACGGCTGACCAAGAAACAGCAAGAGCTAAAGGAGGCGTTTGATGCGTTTGACCGGGACGGGAATGGCGTGATCCATGCAGACGAGCTGCTGGCCATGATGCACCAGTTGGGTGATCGCATCACCAAGGACGAGGCAGTAAAGATGATCCAGGAAGCCGACCATGACCAGGATGGGGTCATTAATTTCCATGAATTTTCTCTCATGATGGGTGTCAAGCCACCTGCTGGCGATGCTACCGATCCCTTGTCGCCGCTGTCTTCGCCTACGTCTCCAACAAGTACGGATACTTCATGTCCGCATCATCATCATGAGCGTAAACACCATCGGTACTCTGTACGCAAGTTCTTTTGTAAATGCCATCAGCAGCAGCAGCAGCAATAACTTTCTTTTGGGGTCGAGATAAGAAGGGGGGGGTAGCTGTGTAACATTCCTTTTTCTTCCTGGCTGCCCATCATTACTACGTAGCAGTGTGCATCTGTTTAAGCGACTGTTCGATTTAGCACGGATGGACATTCTATCTTTCCCTTTGGAATAGAAGGTTCTGTCTCTCTCTAGCTCCTCCTTTTAATATCCTTTTTGAGCCTTTTTTTCTTTTGACACGCTTGCCCTTCTGGCTCCCCACCGAATGAATTCCGTGATTTCTTTGATAGAAGCCCAGCGGGTCTGTGTGTGTGTGTGTTCTTTCATGGAAGGGTGGCTGAGTTGCTATTATTATTTTTGGGGAGAGAGAACACAAAATATCGGTCAAGATCGCCCCCCCCTCCCCTACTTTCTGCAGTGGAAAAAGGTACTTTGCAAGGTGTTGAGGGCTTGGCAAGTAACAATAGCCCAATGAATGTTGCAGATATAAATGCAGTAAGTGACGCACGTTGTTGCTCCAACCGGGGATTGGTGATGTGTCTGTCTTTTATTTGGGGGGAGAGGATGGTGGTTTGGGGGGGGGGGGGCCGGGGTGCAATAGAAGTGAATCCAATTGTCTTGACCAACGCGCATGGTCAAAGAGGAACGAGCGGGGAAATGTGAAAATGGATGTTCTTTACAGAAGCATCTATCATGGAGATAAAACTCGTCACCACACCACACACAGAGAAGCAAGCACGTATATAAAAAGGGACAATGATCTTGCCCTCTGTTTCTCTTTCTCCTCTTTCTCTCTCACTCTTTTACCCGCTCTACACTCTATATTATTTGAATGCAATTATGTTACACTCTAGCAGTCCTATTTCTGCCGTTCCTTTGGACAAAGCTCCCAAAGACACTATTACAACAACAGGACAAGCGCATGGTCTGAACGTCACTCCCGAGGAACTGGAATCACTACGTCAAGGTTTGTAAACAAACCTGTGCATGTATGCAAGAAGAGACAGAAGCTGACAGAAAAACGTCTATCCACATGAAAAGCATTCCGGATCTTTGACGTTCGAGGGGCCGGCACAATCACATTAACTGATTTTGGCAAGATTATCGAGAATCTGAATATCGCAACCGACACTGCTGAAATCCAGTCTATTGCACATGCCGTCGATTTAAACAATGACAATCTCATTGACTTTGAGGAATTCGCCACGGCCATGATTCGCCACTTGACCCCAGACGGTACTCTTGTTACTAGTAGCAGTAAACAACCTGTTGTCGCTTTTACCGAAGAACCACAAAGTTATCATCACCCTTCGATGGAAAGCGCCCTCAAGTCCTCCACACCATCCAACTTTTCGAAACGCACCAAGAATGGCAGCAAACGGATCAGTTTCTACGACGATATGGAACTTGTGCAGTGTTTCCAGGCATTTGACAAGAACCGCGACGGACTGATCAGCAAAAAGGAGCTCGAGGACGTCATGATCAGTCTGGGCGAGCATTTGACGCTGCACGAGATCAAGGCCATGATGGACGATGCGGATACGAACGGCGATGGTTTTATTGATTTTGATGAGTTCAAGAACCTTTTACCCAAGTGATCGTTCCCAAACCGCCCTTGCTTTTTAGATTACCATTGTTATACTATTATACTACTACTTATCATACACTTCTTTTCCTTTCCTCCCCCCAGCCACCCATTCAATTCAATTCATTCATTCATTCATTCATTTACACCCATACACACCACAGAACAACAAGCATGTACATAGTCCAATCACGCACACCTTTATATATATATATATATATAAACCCCCTCACCACTATCTAGAGACCGAACCGTCCAAACTAAAAGGGAAATAAAAAAAAAACATTACATACAATTTGGAGGAACGCTTGAAAAGAGAAAAAATAGCTAGCCAATGTTTTTCATTCCAACTAATTATCTCTGCTGTATCATAGACCTTGTGTGTGTGTGTGTGTGTGGCTCGTGGCTGGCCCGCCCTCGGCCGCCCAATTTCATGTGGTGCAGACCACGTTCGGTCGGTCGGTCGGTCGGTCGGTCGGTCAGTCGGTCGGCGGTGATTCTAATGAGGAGTCGGGCGATCTCTTGCAGTATAAGCATATATACTGGACCCCCTTTTGTGTGCTTGTTTTTTTTTTGGCGGCAACCTAATAGGGTTGAATAGGTACACAAGTGCCTTTACTAGGCTAAACGTCTAAAAAAAATAAAAGAGGACGTTATAAATGCACTACTGCTTTACAATATCGAACTTACTGACTAGAATGTGTGTGAGTGCAAAAACAACGACAAACCTTTTTCTTTTTTAATTACTCCTCCCTCTCCCTCCTTTCTCTCTCTCGCTCTCTTCCTCTCTTCCTCTCTCTCTTTCTCTCTCTCTTTCACTTGTTTCTTTTCGACACTCGACTTCTTCCCCCCTCCCTCCTTCTTTTTGTAAATACACACGTGTATTTTTGTTGTGCCCGGATGCCTCGGCGCAGCCCAGAATCTTCTCCATTTTTACTGTACGTCTTTCTACCCGGACTCCGGAGTACCTTGCTCGCCTTTGCCGTACTAGCGATCGGCTTCGGAAGCTGGCTGGAAACGACCGATTCAGTCGACAACTGTGCCTTTCGCAGCAATCTTGCCCTTCAAAAAGTCTCCTTGCTACGAAACCTGTCGAGCGATACCCTTTCACCCGACATAGTCACCTTTGGCCTGTGGAAACATTGCTTCATTTATGCCCTTAATTGTACTTGTGCACCAGCCCGTTTAACCTATGAGCCAGGTAAACCAAATCCTTACTTTCTATCAATCTATATACACACACACACACACACGCCACTGACACTTTTTTAGAGTTCTCGACAATCCTTGAAGCAGCAATTGGTAACCATACAGCTATTCCGCTGAGCGACGACCAAACTTCTTTATGGCGAGTCGTGCCTCTGGCCATCGGAACGGCCTTTGCCGGCGTTGCATTTATATATGGCCTTGTGATCCATCGACTCGTTTACTGCAACAAGAACAAAAACGACACCGAAACAACAACAACTCGTAAACAACTCATACTGCAATGGAGTAATGCCGGCATTATACTGGTCACTACCATTCTCGTCGCCATTGGATTCGGTTATTCTTACCAGCAATACTCGTCCGGCATCCGTAGTGCATGTGATCAACTGGACAATTCTTATTGTACGGCCGTTCACTCTGGGGTGGAATTCACTGTGTTGATTGTTGGCATTGTGCTTGCCGGTCTGTCTTTGTTATTATGGGCCTATGTACCCCGTCCTCATAACCAACAACAACAACAACAAAGAACGTCCGGGTATTATAACGCGTCGTCGTCATCCATACAAAAAGGCGGAGGAGGAGGAGGCTATGATTCAAGTTATGTCGGTGATAATCATAGACGAAACACACCCACTTTGGATGTACTTGAACCTTGGCGAGACGTTGCACTTTTTGACGATAAAGTACGTACAGTCACCAACAACAACAACAATAACAACGCATATCGACCGATTGAAGACCATGCGTTGGACGATTATGATGGTAATGGTGGCGTTGTTGGAGGACCCTTACCACCACCACCTTCCAATAGACGTCGATCAACACAAACACATTATCATCATCATCCTCCTCCTCCTCAGAACAATCATCATCCATATTATCAAGGACGAGAAGATTTACAGCCTCCTTCACGGCCCTACGTCTCTTCTCCACGTCGTGCAAGCCATGGATCGGGCAACACCTTTGGCGCCAACAACATGCTTCGTCATTCGCGTGGCTCATCCATGATGATGGAAGAAAACGACTATTATTATTCATCCGGCGCTGATAGTGATGGTAACCATTCGCCTACACGACCCTCATCACGTCGTCGATCGAGCAGTGCCATGAGTCCACATCCTCATAGCCCACGACGACGTTCACAATCACCCTATTCTCGACCGGGTACTGCTCCTTTACCTACTACTACTACTAACAGCAGTGGTAGTCCGACACAACATCATCATCATCCACTCAACCAGAAAGTAATTACAGATCAACGGATCAGTGCATATCTTCAACAGCAACGATGATCGCCCTATCGCCCCTTATTTTTCTTTTGGCTTCTCCCTACTATGAACTTTGCCGCCAACCATCCACCATCCACCAACGAAACTACTACTACTACTACTTCTACCTCCTACTTTACTACCTCTATCTTCATCTAACCTAAATCTACTATCGCGTCATTCTATATATTTTGTGAATATCTAAAACATTCTAATTGTGTCTTATATACATAACCTCACACCAAACACCTCAACTTCTTTTTCTTTCTACCTGCCTATTCTCCCCTCTTTCATATACATAACTCTCTCTCTCTCTCTCTCTCTCTCTCTCTCTCTCTCTCTCTCTCTCTCTCTCTCTCTCTACTTGTCTACCTCACCTACCTTTTCTACTATAATAACTTGGTTCAGCTGTCCTTTGTTTCCTTTGGTAGTTTCGGGTTTAACCCGGTTCCTCCAAACAATAAACAAAAATGCTTTTGATTCGATTCCGATTCGTTGGTTAGACAAAACCCTAATTATCTTGTTGTGAATTAAACGATAATTAATTACTTGTGTAAGGCCCCCTTCCCAGTGTGAACAACTTTCATGTAAACGCCCGCCATAATTCTGTGACTCTGATGGGGAATATTCGTTTTAATTTATATGCACACAGACGTTTGTTTGGATGAACACTCCCAGAAAATTGGAATGTAGAAATATATCCCCCCACACAAAAAGAAGCGACTCCATACTATAATACATTCTAGAAAAAAACCATCACGGCTTTCTGCCACTGCCACTGCTGCTACTACTCATGATAGCAACACCATTCCTTATCATACAAAACACGCCGACTGCTAGACACAGGGCAGCACATGCTGTGCCATAGTAAAGGAAACAACGTTGGATCGATAATAGCATGGCTTGTTGTACTAGTGATTGTATCGCTGGCGGGAGCAGCGTGGGAGTAATGACAAGCTCAAAGATCTGAAAAAAAAAAACATAACACAAACTATATCATTAGACACAAATGGTTTGTGTTCTTTGTTTTTTTTTTGTTTGCTGCTGTCATACTCCCATGATGATAAAGCCGTCTTACCTCAGGTTCTGCAACAGCTTGCGCTAATATGGATTTCAAATTACATTGTAAAATTGCATACCCGGCAGCCACACCCGCAAGTTCGCCGAGTGTTCGAATAATGTACAATGTCGATATAGTCAAAGGCAGATCTTTTTTGAGAGGAAAAGTTATGTTATACAAAGTCCCATTAGTAGGGTAGTACACTCCATTTCCAGTTTGACTATTACTATTACTACTACTACCCCGCCTTTTTTTTTTGTAGTAATACTACACTTTGTACGACATTTACGTGCTTTACCTCTTCGTTGTTGCTGTCTTTGTAATACATTAGTTTTGTGGGTCTGACTCGTTCTTGTTGGTGGTGCTAGTAATAAATTACTGCTTGCTACTGTCACCAACACTCCCGATGCGAACCCATAAGCTGCTTGTGTTGAGACCAAACCCAGTTGTGGGGTGTCTTGTTTCCACCACCATGCCATGGTTTGGACCATACCGGTTTGAAGCATGGCCATGATCGTCACCAAAAACAGCATCCCCATTTTCTTGTTACTGTTATTGTTGTTGTTGCTGCTGCCATGACGCGTTATCGCTGTTGTTCCTGACAATGTGACACAGTAGCAGCAGCATCCGCTCAATAAGGTGGCAATCATAAACGCCGCTGAATGCGGTAGGACCCATAGACCTGCCAAAGGTGCATTGTGCTGCTTCACTCCCTAGATATAAAAAAAAATAGAAATTACTTTTCTACTATCCCACTACTCAAGCAATCTCACACTAGCATCACCTTACCATGAAAAACTGAGGCAGTAAATACAGCATCATCGTGAACCCCGACCATGCGCAAAACTGAATCATTATGGCTGCAGAATTGCGTAAAAGGACACGTCCAGGCATGATGGCTATTGCACCAGCCCACAGTGCCTCGTACAACAGAAACACAACTGCCACACTACCGCCGACCGAAAACAATGCAATGCTCACTGGATCATTCCAGTCATTGTAGTTTCCACCGAGTGCAACACCGGTGATCAATGAGATACTCGCGACAACGAACAAGAAGGCACCGAAATAATCGGTGGCTGTCGTCGTCGTCGTCTTGTTGCTGTTGGCAATGATTGCTGTAGATGGTTTTATATGGTAATGGGGTGTGGTGTAATTTGGAAGCCAAAACAAGTACAAGCACAAAGTGATCAAGCATGGAACCAAGTTGACGTAGAAACAGTAATGCCAAGAGACACCAAACAAGTCCATGATGAGTCCTGCTACATAGGGTCCTAAGGCCAATCCAAGCTACATCACCAAAAAAAATAAAGACAGAGACAAAAATTCAGTAGGGGAACAATGGTCGTGGACAGTATATAGATATATACTTACTGCTGGTGCAGTTTGAATGTATACGTCATAACGTTCATAAAGTGTCGCGGCACTACTACTGATCGTACTATCATAAGGATGATGATGACGACGGCGATGATGATGATGATACTTTTGTACTAAACAATCCAAAACAACAATCGACGATAATGAAAGTAGAATTCCGCCACCAAGACCAGCCACCGCTCTAGCTGCGATCATTTGTAACATGTTTTGCGTTGCGCTGCAGGATAAGGATCCGATCAGGAATAAGCATTGTCCAATGACCAAGAGGGCTTTGCGTCCAATCGCGTCTGCGAGATTCCTGCCTGTAGCAAAAGAGTATAGAGTATTTAGTAAATTGTCAAAAGAGACGGAGGGAGAGAGAGAGGAGAAACAAAAAAGAGGCTCTTTTTACATACATAGCGGCTGAACGAGTAAGCAGCCGAAAAGATAGGGTAGATGGATCCAGACAGCGAGATGAGGGCTAAAAGCTTTTCATGTTAATTGTGCCGTAAATGGGATGAGGCTAGCCCTAATTTCTCCTTGATGTGCTTACCTTTGGAACTCTGTACTTATAATGTTGAGTAGCAATAATACAATCCCTGTGTCCAGACCCAACATGCCGACACTTATACAAAGACTAAAAATCCAGCAAACAAAACGGATCAATTTACACTATCTTTTTTGTTTCCGTTCCCCCTCCCAATGTTCCGACGAATACGTGGATGTACTATACCACAAGACAAGTGTTCCCAAATGGATATGTTTTCTGTCACGTTCCTCGTGCGGTTGAATAGTGCTACTGTGATTGTGCTCCGAAGAAGAAGAAGATAAAAACACACTGTCATCATCATCATCTTCTTCCCCGCTATTGTTGGTATTGTGATGACTACTGTCGATCAAGTGCTGCTCCGGTTCCTTGACAGTGTGGAATGTAGCATAACTCATTGTTGACGCGCCGTCGCTGCTGCTCGTCGAGGACGAGTCATAGTAATAATCGGTTTGGTTCATTGATGATGCGGCAGACCATAATAACGACTGTGATTCACCATCTGTGGTCGTACTTTGATCTTTTTGTGATGGTTTTTTGCTGCTACTAGACATGATAAAAAGGAGAGTAGCGAACGAAGGAAAGAAAGGTAAAAATGTTAAAGTGCCTTTAGTCTGTTGGTGTTTCAGGTAGTTAAGGATATATCATGATACGTTTCAGGAAGGTGGGATGCGGGGCAATAAATAAGGAGGCAGTAAACAAAAAAGTTGATGTGTTTTTATGCAAAGCCTTCCCTCTCTCTCTGTGTGTGTGTGTGTATGCCTATGCCGCTATCTACTGCAGTACATGTGTGTACAGATAGGTACATTAACATGTCCCAAAAAGAGAGGTACCCGAGCCATCATATACTGTAAACACCTCATTCATATACATCAAGTGCTGTAATAGAAGCGGACAGTGGCACTACACATACACCGTGCTCTCTTCTTCTTTTCCTTTTACCAGTCGCAAATAAACATGAAGAAGCCATCCTTGTATCTCATGATGTCGATCCATTGATTGAGACAGCTAAACCAAAGGATCACCCTTTCAAACTGGGTTTTGCTTAAGAAGTAAGCAGTAGGAAGGGGTTCATAGGATACTTGTTGCTTCTTGTGTGACCATTGCACGGACCTGTTCTATTCCCTTGTGTGGGTCGTTTTTATAAAGTGTGGCACACCATAGCTCATATGACCCCAAATATTTAAATTAGACTGGGTGTAGTATCTGTACTAAAAGAACTGGTTTCGCCGTAGCACTTTTTTAAAAACCGCTTCGAAAGCCGGGGATATCACATCCTAAAGACGTGTTTTCACGACAGTTTAGTAACAAAGTCTTGGGACATGAGTATATATATGTATTATACAGATAATTATTCATTGTTGTGGATGTCGGGAGTAAATCAGAATCAAGGCGACGAAAATCATTATCGTGTCGATGCCGATCATCATCCCATTTTGGGTTACCATGCTCCCAAATAAATTACTTCCAAACCACGCAGGCTGTAGTTTTACTCCACGGTACATATCAAAGTAGATTATAGAGATGTTTATGATACCATAGTAATTGCAAGTTATAGTGGCAGCATTACAGAGTGATTAAATGGAACTTTAACAATGACGGTATATCACCCGGTATTTATGTAAGAAGATGTGTTTTGACGAAAAAAGGACCAGGACGGTCTAGCAAAACTGGTCTAAATCGACAAACAAACGATATAAACAAAGGAAAGAAAAGTTCTTGGAGCTGTTAACGTGTCATCATTGAATGCAGATAAGAAATATGTGGTGGAGGAGCACCCTACGCATTTGCCTGGCCTATGGCCTGTATGATATCTAGATAAACAGCACTGACAACATTTGAACGCATATACTCTATCTCCACAATGAAGTACTTGTTTGGCACTCATGCTTTAATGTCAGACATTATTGTTCTACTGGTGTATATTGAGGACTTGGGGTTGGCCAGGTAAATGCAGTAACGATGACCTGGCGGGCTAGCGTTAGCTAATGCTGCACAGCTACTACGACGAGCGTTTATCGGAAGCCCGGAGACCGCGTAGGCAAGATTAGCACCTCAGCCGCTTGAAAGGTGCTCGCATCGTTTCTATGCCGTCGCCTTCAATAAGCTTCCATATGCATACAATTGCTTATCAGTGGATCAAGGATTATAGATATATTTGATATAGACGCGATGATAATTGATTTAATAGGTGGAGACATTCATAGGATAAAGATGCAGTGTATTTATTAGGAAGCAAAATAAAAGTGACGCGTGAATAGAGAAGAAGTTCAATGACATTGATGTTGGAAGTTGAAATTGGAAGGTGTGGATAGGATGCTGTTGCGTGTGGTGTTGATATTTGCAGCATTTTCTGTCATTTTTTGTACTGTAGTGGTTAACTGAGCAAACTTGCCAGCTTTGTTACTATCAAGAGAGGATTTACAAATGCGACACTTTATAGCATTTGTCTAGTCAACAAGTTGCTTAAGCGCGCGCTCAAGGCCTTCCTTAGTATCAAATGCATTTCTTATAAGAGCAGCACATTTTGCTCACTTATTTCCATTTCTTCATCTCCTCTTCCCATTAAAATTAACTTTTCTCAGAACAAAAACTAGTTTATTAGGATATTCCACCTTCGATGCAACTACTATCTAAAATCACCAAGTAAACAGATCAGATGATGGGTGCAAAAATAAGGCATGTGTACAAACTTCCTGCATTAACGTTGTTGTATATCGATGTACGCATAATGGAAGGTTATTGAAGGCGACGGCATAGAGCTTGGTAGCTTGTAATGGCGGATCCAATAAGGTGGATCATGGCGTAAAACGTTGTTTCTATGTTTTGTTTTCTCTCCAGTCCAAAACAGCATCCTAATTCCTTTTGACCTTACCTACAATTTTGGTTTTTGCTAATGTAAACTTCTAATCGTCCATGGATATATGTGGATGTGCTGTAGTGTGGTGTTGAATAAAGCAAGGATGATAGGGATAATCACGGTACAGCATCCAGGAACACTAAAGAAAGAAAAACGCAAGTGCTACATGTTCCCCCTCCCTCCTTAACACTTTGACATTTTTACCATAATGAGTCCGACCTGAGCTGCTAGCAGTGGTTGTGCATGCTTCATGTACTGAGTAGGTGGTAGGACTAGTTAAAGATAAGCAAGAACGGCGTTGGTTATTCTTGCAGCGCCTTGCAAAGCATAAAAAAAGAATAACCCTTACCTCTTTCCAAATCACCAAGTCATTAGTCTTGAGTCATTGCATTGAATGAGTTCAAAGGATCCATCAGTAATGCCATGACCTGTGATGCCTGGACTGTATGTCCTATAGACGGGAAATATATTAACAAATGAGTGTTACTTTTTGTTTGCGTTGCTATGCAAATGTAAAGAGAAAAAAAGCTTGTTCTATTTTATACCAAGTCGATAATCCCAATTTCATGTATAAACTGAGCTGTGGACAGATGGCAATAATGCTGCTACTGTCAAATGCCTTGCAAATGGGTGTGCAGTGATGATGAACGCGTTCTGTAAAGTGTAGAGAAAGCAACCGTCAATCACACTATTACTACTGTATTATACAAAGTAAAGAAAAAAAAAACTTTTTCTATCTTTTTCCTTCCTCCATCTGAGACATTTACCATTTGGATCCGTCACCAAATTGACCCTTTTGTGCAAACCCGCAATTTCGAAAGGGTTGTTGTGGCTGGAGCTTGAAGAATGCTTGGAAATGAACTCAAGAGAAAAAAAGAAGCACAGACACTTAGTGCAAAAATTCCCTCTCGGAAATACTTTTTTTTTGTAGAGGACTTTCGCGTCCGGGTTTTATTTATACCCACGTCAGTAGAGAGCGGTGGTTATCAGAGCGACAAAGAATAAACAGATGGGCAGAACCCGGGCGATCGGTAGGAGCCAATTTTGGAGGACTGTGTGAAGCAAAGTTTTTGTCTTCGGTAAAAGAGGGGTATGTGTAAAGGAATGGTGAAGTGGTGTGGATGCTATAGTATTATATTATGGCGGGTCGGGGTTTAGCCTTAGACCCTGTATAAGCTTATGTAATAATCGGTGGATAGAGGTGCAAATATTGTCGGGAACAAAAGGCATACTGTCAAAGACATGGCGCCAATGGGCGCACCATACGCCTTGTAAGATACAGGCAATGATCAAGCGACTGGAAGTAGGAGAAGGATTGGATGGGAAGTATAGAGAGAAGATGGCTCGGTGGATTTGTACTGGGGTAGGTGTAAATAGGAAAAGATCTTGCCATACACAGATCCAAACGAGCCATTCAAGTGGGCAGGAGAACAATAAATGGAAGAGGGTATCTGCGGCTGGAGGACAGAAAATACATGAGTTATCAGGAAAGAGCTCAGGAGCGATGTGGTGGAGAGTGTGACGGTATGAAAGAGATTGATGCAAAGCTTGGAACTAAAGGTTTCGAGCAATAGGTGATATTGCTTCGGCCCAAAATCGCTTCCATTGCCGAGATCGCAGAGGCTCTATGAAGTTTGTATGTGGTTAAATGAGGCTATTAGAGTGTAAATCGTACGAAACGTACGTAGGGAAAGATTATATAATGGTTGGGGAAGGGTAAGAATGCGGTCATAATGGATGAAGGGGAAACAGTCAGAGGGGGGAATGACTGGTAGTACATGAGGAAAAAAGGGTAACATAGCAAAGAACCGTAGTCAATTTCTCAAAAAAATTATAAAGTCAGGTTGCAGTGAGAAAGAGAACGTTTTGTAATTCGGCTAAGGAAGTAGAAGCGGGAGCAAAGCAGTAGGCATCGCCAACCGTTAACTGGTATCGGTTAATGCGAGAGATAATTGCAGGAATTGTGGAATTGTGGGGAATGTAAACTATACTAGAGAGGGGCATATTAAGTAAAAGCGGAATGCTGCTCCTCTAATCGCACCAATGCTATTATCTCACAAAAAGTAATGTACATAAAAAAAACAATGATTTATTAATAGAGATCACAGCATCTACTTTTGTATGTATGTTATGGTGCTGCGGGCAAAGGACAAAAGCGTCAGTTGGTTAGAATTTCATCTAGCTACTCTACATATTTATCTTCGATTAGTGCATTATATAGCGTAGTCTATGATATGAATTACCAGCAACAGCTGCTGTTTAAGAGGAAAAGAGCAGATAATATGGGGATAAAGAGTGATATCGTGGACAGGCGTCAATCGCTCGGCAGAGGAGACCCCACAATGAAGTGGGAAAACAAATGGAAAGGGGACGAAGTGAAAGAAACATAAAACAAAGAAGACCATCGTGCGGATCACAACAAAGAATAGAAAAGAGTGAGGATCCACGGGTGAACAAAAGAGGAGTGGGGATGAGGGGGGAAGAAAATAGGAAGGATCCAACGGAAATGAAGGCTTAATTGTTGTGTAGATGAGTCAAGGATAACTAGGCCACCTTGGTGGTGAGGAAGTAAAAACGTGTCAAATGAGAGTTTGGGAAACATGTTATGATTGAAGAAGGAGTAACATATAGAGCGAAGAGAGGAAAAGAAGGATTTGAGGAAGGGGATTAGTCAAAGAACATGCGAGAGAGAAGAAAGAAGGAGAACATTTAAGAAAGTTGCCCTACTACGAACTGATAAATTTCGTTAGGCATGATGTGGCAGCCAGTCTTGATTTTAGTTAATAGTTGTTAACTGAAAGCATCTCGTTGGTGGATCGATGTGAACAGCAGGTATTTGAGGTAGACTAGTGCCCGGGTAGAATCCTGGTCGTGCCAAGATGTAATAGAGTAGTTAGCCAGTGAGTCAGGCCAGGTGGATGAGGGAGAACCAGCTCGAGGTACAGTCGACCCCCGTCAACGTCAACCCTCAGAGTACCAGCAAAAGTGTTGACCATATCGAGGGTTGACGACCACTGGGGGGTAGAGATAGGCGAAATCTCTAACTGCTAAATTTGAAAGGGTGCCAGCGAATCTGTTGACGTTTTCGGAGTTGACGTTAACGGGGGTTGACTGTAGTGCCTGGGTTTTCGTGAGATTGCTGGAAGCATTGGATGTGGTTGAGTAGGTTCCAAGATGCTGCATACATCGATGCAAGTATTGTGCATCATGCAAAAAGAAAGAGGCATCTGCAGCATAGGTGAAGTTTTAGAATTAGAGATCGAAAACAATTGGGGAATATTATTATCCCTATTTTTGACCAATATCCTCTATTAACAACCAAATATTTCAATTATGCTAAATTCAAATCAGCATATGCTATTCTTGAAGATAAAAAATTAACTAAATCTCAAAGAAATGCACAGATTGAAACTTTATTATTGACTAAACCTGATGAATCTTATATCTTTCTGGCTTGGAATAAAATTTGAGGTCTGGAGATTGGACCAGTAAGACAGTAGCCTTGGATGAAGTCATCGTTTGAAATATGTTAGAGGAGGGGTTCAAATGCGAGATTAAAAAGGAGGGGGGAGTGACGATCACCTTGGCAGCAACCTCTCTTTTGGGAGATGAGGAGAGATAAAGAACTATTTACATTATTGCGAATCTGTGTATCGCTAAATAGGTGGATAATACAAGTTACTAAGCTAGGAGAAAATTAAAATGTAGTAAAACGTGTCTAAGATGTTGGAGGCTCAGTTTATCATATGCCTTCTCGTTATCGCAGCACAACAGAATATCAGAGTTATTTTACTTTTTAGCATGAGTCACGATAAGGTGGACAAGCATACCGATATCAGCGATATACCTTCTATGAAGGAATCCTATTTGATATGAATTGACTAATTTAGTAGCAGGCGTAATCATGTGATGGTTTAGAATGCATGTAAAGATTTTAGCATCAGTACAGTAGCTGCTCGCTAAGCCGATCACCTCGGTCATGACCCAAAAGTGATTGGCTTATCAAATTCGATGCCCGCTATAATGAGTGGGGTCTTCGTCTGTTAGAGCATCTGCAACAGGGTTGTTAAAGTCCATTGTTACGCTAAAACTAACACTGCAATTTAACAACCTGTGTCTGCAATGGGAGTTGTTAAATGCATTGTCAAACTAAGCACTCTATCAATATTTTGACTGTAATCAATAAATTTATCAATGCACTCTTTTTGCTTTTCTCCTTATCACCTTCCATCACCATAGGAGACTAGTTGTTATATTTAAAACTGAAAAAAAGTATTAACTGAAAAAAATTTTAACAACTTAAAAATCAAATAAAAATTGAATTTTAATTTTATAAAAAAAGCACTATGGGAAATGTCTGCAGAATTTTATAGGGGAAATATAGGGATAATATAGGGAGAATATGGATATGGGAAAATATGGGGTCAAACACGATATTCCAGATTTTCCCCATATCTGATTTCTATATTTTCTCCATATAGTTTCTATATTCTAGCAGATGAGGTTTTTCAACACCCAATCAGATCACATCAGTGTAATTGGGTTGTAGCTAGGGATCCACACGGTTCGGTTCGGTTCGGTTCTTGAAGGGAACCGAACCGAACCGTCTAAAGCAAGAACCGAACCGACTAGAACCAACGAGAACCGTAGAACCGAAGAATCGAACCGAAGAACCGAACCCATCATGTATATAGAAAAGGCAAGATTCGATATTTTTAAATGAAAGCTGATGTGTGTGTTCAAATGTCGCGGTATACTTGAATACTGCAGTAAAAAAGAAAAGTTTATTATTATACATTGAACAGCGATCATTGTACGTGAATGGGAGGCCTAGGTACTGAAAGCTGTTAACCTTAGGGATGGCGGTACCGTTGATTCTATACGTTGCCGGTGGAAGAGAAGCTGAAGTTGTACTGGTTGGCGCTTCTGGGGGCTCAATGATAGTGCACTTTCCAGGGTGCCAGCGGTATCCGTAGTCGCGCGAGTGGCTCTCAGCTGCCTTGAGTAGGTGGTGAATATCACTGCGAGAGGCGATGAGGGCTACATCATCGGCGTAAAGTAGTGCTGGAATGATCGTGCGGCCGGTGTCAGGTCGATTCTTGCCCGGCTTTCCATTTTTGTCACCCAGATATACTTGATTTTGTATTGATGCTTCAGTGGCGCTGTTGCGGGGTGTAGTACGGAGAACAATAGGTGTCATGCATTTGTTTCCAATGATTGTGAGCTGGAGTCGGTTCGGCAATGTGTTGATGAAGACCGCATACAACAAGGGGCTAAGGATTGAGCCTTAGAGTACTCCGTGTTTGGGCTGAATATAGCGTGATTGGAAATTTTGTAAGATGACGGCTATGCGTACATCATCAAACATATGACGAATCATATGGAACAGAGCACTCGGCAGGTGTCCCTGCAGCGTTGACCATATGATGTCGCGATCGACCGAGTCATAGGCAACCTTGATATCTAGAAAGGCGAGCACAGGGGATTCTTGATATGTCCGCTGGTAGTGACGTATTAACATGTTGAGTGCAAAAGCTTGGTCAAGGGCACCACGATGATGGCGAAAACCACCCTGGGCCATGGCTAGTGCTGGCATAGAAATAGAGTGCTACTATGATATTATGGCTGACCACCCATACGGACGATAAGGATCGAGGCCACATAGGTATGTATATTTTTGTTAGTACTCTTTTCCTATGATATATGACGAGCTTCGTTGTCTCCACACCATTGGTATATATCAAACTATTCCTTTCGCGGCCGGTCTTTAACTCCTTTATGCTGTGAATGATGCATTCTGGTTTCTTCACTAACAATCTTCAATGTGTCTTTTAGGTATGTCATCTCCATAATCGTCTAAGAACATATTCTCCTTCTACGCTGCTTTTGCTTTCAGTTATAATTTGATGCAACATGCATCTTTCCATAGTACGACTGCCGTCCTTTGCACTATCTCTTTTCAACTACAGCCTCTTTCTTAGAATTATCACATAAAATAGACTTACATTTGATGATGTTCTTTTATGTTCTATAAAGCATAATCTTGTATGTACTTGATTTTTTATACAAAATATAATAAAAGCGGTTGTGGATACCCATAACGATATATAATATAACATGACCATGAATATATAAACCAATAGCATGCTTTGTCCGTTTACCATACGTGTTAAAAAAAGAACGAATATATGCAATGCATAATCCTTCCTTTTACGAACCTACTGCAGAAGGCACCCAGTTTAAATGCAGTGTATAGTAAGACCGTTATAGACATTTACATTCATGATGTAATCAAATTGTGAGTTTTAGGGACTACATGCACATAAGAATATCAAGGTGTAAAAAGACCTTGATATTTACTCGAAAAGCTAAATATTAAGGTGTTTGAAAACATCTTGATATTTTATAGAAAAGCTGTATATCAAGATTATATCAAGCTCTTTTCTACCCCTTGATACAGTACCTGCTCGTTAAACCAATCACCTTTAAACCGATATTTCGTTAAACCAATCACTTCCCCAAAATACCAGCTTGGTAAGCAGTATGTATGTCAT